CAACTCCATTTTTGTTCTTCTTTTTCACCACATCGATGAGTTTAGTCACGAGCTGGTCAGCTACATAGTCAACGTGCCTGCCACCCTAAGGGAAAATGGGACCAAAGACCTGGTGGTGATTCCATTGAAAAAAAAAGTATGCATATTCATTCAAAATCTTAAGCATAATCTTTGCAAAATTAAGCAACTAAGTGTTTTTCCCTAATGCACATACATTTGAAAATAGCTAAGACTATTAATGATGAAGAGTATGACATCAGCTTGACTAAATAAACTAAAGAAGAATTACCTTCGTAGTGGCAATGCTGTTGACAAAGCTTACTTGCTGGAAGCCTTTCTCACTTAAAGTCAAACATACTTCCCACCGAGAGTTTACTTCCTCATGCACCACCCTAAGCACGTTACCAGTTTCATCTACTTTGTCCTTCAGGTAGAGATCCACGTAACTGCGGAATCCTTTCACCTGCAAACAGATGAAAGCAGACAACAGGTTTATAACAGCTCCTATAAATATACTTAATTCATATCCTCCTGAAAAGTGGGTAGAGAAATCACTCGTGCAAATTTTCCCTAAACTATGTTTAACGACATAAATTGCTTCAACCAAATCTCACTGTTTAAATGGCACGAGAAATACAGGTATTGCCGTTTCTTTTAACTGTTCACTTACAGGCAGCCTCTGTCCATTTAGGAAAACTTTGACATCCTTTGTGGATCCAGCAATATCATATGCTCTTCGAGACATTAGTGCTACAATGTCTTTATCAAGAATTGTCATCTTGAATTTTGACAGATCAGGTTTGAAAGTGACACACGTGTAATCTTCTCCATCAAAATACTTCAGCTGCATTTCACCAGCCTTTCCCATGTTGTCTGTCCAGGTCTGAGAAAAGGAGGTTTTGTGAGTTGCAAGTCTGACACACAAGAGCAACTAGCTTAGTTCTTAAAAGCAGTAAGCTGATTTATGAGTTTTAAATACTTTCAAATTAAAAAACCTAACTGGTTAAAAACTAGATTCTGGTTATGCCTGCTCACTCCATTATTCATTTGAATTATATTTTGTGGTACGATAACTGTGGGCCAAATTTATTCTAATCATGGTGCACTGAATGTGAGCTACACCTAGATTTTTGGAACAAAAACTTAGGGTCTTATTTGAAAATCTTGGATATAACCTTACTGAAATGAGAAGTGTTCATACCTGCTTGAATAACTTTTTGTATTCGCGACATGCAGTTTCCACAGTAAATTTTGTGCTAAATATGTTGCACAGTTTGGCTCCGTAACCATTTCGCCCACCTGGAATTAGAAGGAAAGCAGGCTTGTGGTATTGCCTTTGTTCAAAACCATCTAAAAAAATTCCAGTCTAACAGAGTTTACCTGTTTCAGCACAATCAAAGTACAGCTGTCAATAAGCAACAATATCCTACAAATTCAGTACATGACTATAAACCCATATTTAATTGGGATTAGCGTTCAAAGAGAAATTTTCCTGTTCTCCATGTTTGTACTGTTATTACTATAAAATAGAGCATGGAGGCCTCTCTGAGGGACTCGGAACGCTCTTTTCATGTTGCATCAAGGACCCCCCCTTCCCCCGCCTTTTAGTGCAGTTCACACATTTAAACTGGTCAGGTTGCTCAGCAATATTAGCGCGTATTTGAGACTCTCCCCTACCTGTGACTTTCTTTTCATTGTCATCGTAGTTGCTGGATGTTAGTAGCTGCCCAAAGATAAGAGCAGGCACATAGACCTTCTCCACTTTGTGTTCCACAACTGGAATACCTTTCCCATTGTTCCATACACTGATTGTGTTATTCTCTCTAGGGGAGAAAAATGTGTGTTTTTAAGGCTTCAAATGACTGAGCTATGAAACAAATATTATACAAAAGCTCTGAGGAAAGGTGACCATTTCATCAAGAGCAAATCTTTGTTCAGCAAGTGCAGAAACAGCCAGCAGAGGGAGGACAAGTCAACAAAAAAATTCTCATGTCTGCAGATACCATCCAGGAAATGGACAACCACACATAAAAATCCTCTATCTATGCGCAATGACAGAATAAAAAGGTTGAGAGGAAGAAAAGAGGAAAACGGCCAGAACGGAAAACAAACAACAAAAGAGCAGTCATTTCACAAGTCAGCACTTTGTCAGAGACCAAGGGACTAAGCAAAGCAAAACTTTCACAACTGGTGAACGACATTCGATCTGACTTGGATGGGCCATGTGGCAGAGCCCTCCAACACCCGCTTAGCAGAACGGCATCTGAGTGAGAAAATCTAACACACTCGAGTTGGGAAGGTAATGAACAAAAATGAGATAGAACTTACACATCAATTGTAACTTTAATGCATGACATGCTTTTATCCCTCTGCTTGTTGTCTGCAGCATTGACTAGAATGAAAAGATTATTGTTATTATATTACATTCTCAATCAAGACCAAACTATTACCTACAAAGTGTATTTGGTGGAATGAATGCATATTTTCAATACAATGCTACTAATAATCATCTTGGTGTGCAAATATTTTGCAAGTTACAAAGATGTGCACTACAACTTAACACAAAAGGGAGAATCTGGGGCTGAATGAAATTGGTTTTGTAACAGAGGGCGCTGTTATCCCATGAATTGTTTACTATTAATGTGCTAAAGGAAGGACATTAGCATCCACTATTTCCAAGCACAATCAACAGCATACTCTGCCACCACCATCCACCAGATTCTGCACTAGACATTACTCGGTCAATAATGTAACTAGATAAAAGCACATATGATACGTTCTTACATTTAGTTCCAGTTTCTTAGACATTCAGCAGCCGTTAATAACTCATCAATCATTAACTCAACAGACAGGTCATCTTACCCAGAATCTCATCAAAGATTTTGTATAAGCCAGGCACAAAGGTCACATCTCTGCAGTTAAGGCCCACGTCCGCATCAAAAACCCACATTTGCTGAAAAGAAGGCAAGAAATGTGTAAGTCCCCAGGCACAGCTCCTCTTCTGGGCCATCAGTTTGTAAAGCAGACTTTCTGTGCTTTATAAATAGTTGTTAATGACTTCTCACCCGCCCCAAGGAGCACAGGCGGCTTGGCCCCACCACCCCCCCCCTTCCCTGCCCCGAGCCTCCCCCCGCACCTGCGTGACCAGTTCCACGGAGCCGATGTAGGTGTCAGGCCGGAGCAGGATGTGCTCCAGCTGCGTCTTCTTCTGGTAGACGTGCTCCACCGAGAGCTGCTTCCTGGCGCCATCGCCCTTGGGCAGCCGGGGGTTCGCGGGCTGCTCGGAGGAGAAACAGCGGCAGTGAGGGGTCAGCGGGCCCGGGGGGGGATGGAGAAGGGGAGCGGGGCGGCGGGGGATCCCGGCGCGGAGGGGACGCCGCGGGTGGGGCCCGAGGAGAAGGCGGACGGGGGAAACCTGCGAGGAACGGGGGGTCTGGGGGAAGAGGACGCGAGGGGGGCCCGGGGAGGCGCCGGGGGAGCCCCGGGACGCGGCGGGGGGATCCGAAGGCCCGCGGCACGCACTCGGAGGGGCGAGGGGGACTCCTGGAGCTCCATGGCGGCGGCGGGCGGCGGCGGAGGCGATGGCGGCACCAACGGCCCGGCGCCTTTCAAACCTCCGCTCAGCCCGCCGAAACCCTCCGCCAATCCCCGCCCGCCGGCCCCTGAGCGCCCGCCAATCGCAGCGGGAGGGGCGGGGAGACGGGGCGCGCCCCTCCCCTCCGTCTCGCCAATCAGAGAGCGCTCCGCGCGTTCAAACTAGCCCACTCAGGAGGGATAGTTGCGGGACGGGCAGCGAAGTCAGCCAATAGAAAGGCGAGGGCGCCGCCCGGCGGGGCGTTACTCCTGCGGGGTTGCCGTTGGTGGCGGGACGGACCGGGACTCCCTGGTCACCCCCCGGGGTGGGCTGGGCAGCGTCCGGACAGGCGCAGGGACCCTACTGACACGCTGGGATCACGTTGGGCAGGAGCTGGGGACCCACTGGGCAGGTCCTGGGGACACCAGGGCCCGGTACCGCCTCTTCCACAGACACTGGGTCCTGCAGCGTGCCCATGGGTGCCTACCCCAGAGCCACCGGCCGGGGGGGCTGCTGCCATGGGTGGGCAGAGACCCCCAACCCCCGCTGCTCCTGCTGCCCCAACCCCACTGCCGCTGCCCCAACCCCACTGCCGCTGCCCCAACCCCACTGCAGCTGCCCCAATCCTGTTACCACTGCCCAGACCCTGCTACCACCGCTGAAACCCCACTGCAGCTGCCACAACCCCACTACCACTGCCCTGACCCCACTGCTGCTGCCCCAACCCCACTGCAGCTGCCCAGACCGTGCTACCGCTGCCCAAATCCCGCTACTGCTGCCACTGCTGCCCAAACCCTGCTGCTGCTGCCCAAACCCCACAACCGCTACCCAAACCCCACTCCTGTTGCCCAAACTCCACCACCACTGCCCAAACCCCGTGCCCCAGCCCTGCCCACACACCCTTGCCTGCCCGCTCCTCTGCAGAGAGGGTGCTGGTGCTTTCTGCTTGTGCATTTTGCCTCCGTCTGCACGAGGAGAGGCCGCTCTGTTGATGCAGCACCCAGCAATGCTGACATCACTGGAAATGAAACCCTGTGGCCTCACCGTCCCAGTGGCAGCCCCTCTCCTTTGCCCCCCGCCCGGTTTGTGCCGATCCCAGTGGCTCCAGTCCCCCTCCCCAGTCTCCAGGCTGGCTGCAGCGTGCCCCTCCCAACGCCCCTCGCTGCGGCAGGCGACGTCCCCTTGTAACAGAGCGCTGGGCGTCATCCAAAACACCAACTTTTTTGTGGTTTTATTTCTGGGGCAGTGACAGCAGTGGCTTCGCTGGAGGTGCAGGGAGGCAGCTGGGCACAGCCTGGCATCACCTTGCTGCCCCACGGCACGGGGATCTGCGGGGCTGGCACGGCACGACGCGGCTGCGGGGTCGGCTTCCTCTCAGTGCTCCTGCACAGCTCCGACGCTGCGGTTCCCCCCCCCCCAGCGCTGCCCACAGGGTTCCCGGGGCTGTTTCCCCAGCCCCAGAGGATGCGGGGGTAGGGGCAGGGGCTGCCTGGGACGTGCGGCTGGGGGTCACCACATGTGCCGGTAAGGAAAGGCCACCTCCACGCAGAGCACCGCCAGCGCCTCGGAACAGTTGTGCCGCTGCCCGGCCAGCAGCCTGCCCTCGCCCAGGGGGGTGGCCAGACCCACCCCGGGGCCAGAGCTGTGCCAGCCCTGGCAATCCCGCCTGCGGGCTTGGCCACCCCGCGGCGTGGACCCGTGCCAGGCCAGCCGTCGAGGCCTGCGGATGAGGATGGGGGTGAGAGGGGCTGGGGGATGCCCCCCCCCCCCGAGACACCTCCAGCTCTTTGCACCAGGTCCTGGCACCCGTGCAAGCGCCAGGGCTGGGACCCACAGCAGCCCCGGTTCCTAGCGGGGGGGGTGCGTTTGTTTGGGGGTGCTCTGCCAGCGCCAGCCCCACGGCCGGACTCACCAGAGGGGATCTGTCAGGATGTTGCGCCCGTTGAAGGAGTAGATGGGGCTCCGTGGGGCCGCCCCGGCCTGGCCCTCGAAGAGGGAGCTCCAGGACTTGGCCAGCAGCTGGCCCTGTGGGCACAAGCGGTGGTGCTGAGCCGGGAACTGCAGACTGGCACGATGCCCTTGTTCTGACCACACATGGGCAATAACTTGCTCTGGGTTCCTCCCCGCTCCCCAAAACACAAATGCCAAGCAGAGCCGGGGTGCGGCAGCCTCAGTGCAGGACCAGGCAAGGATCCCCCCGCCAACACTGTGCTGCCAGCAGCCCCCCACGGGGCACGGGGGTACCTGCCTTCAGGTTGACGATGGGGAGGGTCCTGTCCGTCCTCTTGACGATGGAGGCCAGGTCCTGGGTGGGGGCTGACAGGAACGCCCGGAAGGTGCCGTAGAGCTGAGCCTCCTGGGACTGCCGGTAGCACTGCAGGTCGGCGCCGCGGATCCCGCTCATGTCGCCGGCGAGGGGCACGTTCAGGGCGGCCAGGCGGAGCTGGGGAGGGGAGGCAGGGTGCCGGGGAGGCTCGGGCACAGCTGGGCGTCGAGGTCTCTTCTCCCCCCTGCCCGGGAGGGTGCAAGCCTCCGGCGGTGCTGGCCAGGCACGGAGGGTCCCCCTGACACCTCTCCCTCGGCTGGGCCACTTGATTCCCACCCCCCAGGGCCAGGCATTGCTTACTGATGGGATCCGTGGGACGATGGTGGTTGGCAGCATCTGGGGCAGCCCTTGTCCCTCCACCTTCTGGGCCTGGAATAACACGGCTCAGGTCAGCCTGGGGACACCCATCCCTGTGCCAAGGGTGTCACGGGTGCAGCTCCCTCCCCATCCCAACATGACGCCCGGTTCTGCGTGTGCCGGGCTGGCGCTGCCCTGCCGACAGCCCGTCCCCACGGCACGTCCCTCCCGGCGTGGCTGGACCTGCCTCGGGGCTCACCAGCGAGTCCGGTGGGGCCAGCGTGGACGGCCCCGTGTCCGGATCTCTCGTCTTCACCTGCTTCGCCTCCTGGATGGAAAGGAGAGGACAGTCCCACAGGGGCTTGTGTTCCCCCCTCCCCTGGCAGGCTAAGGAGGGCTCTGTCCCCTTGCTGGGACACGAGCGGGCCTGGCAGCTGCCTGCACCCCTCACCTGGTACTGTGGGGTGGAGGCGGAGGGGTCGTCCCCGGCGAAGAGCGACTCCGAATCCTCCAGCTGCTCAATGCAAGGAGCAGAGGGACGGGTTAGCGGAGGAACCGGCTCCTTCCCTGGGCTCTGCTGCTCCAGCCTCAAATCCAGCCCGGTACCAGCTCCCAGGGCTGGACCCTGGCCCCCCCACCCTGCGAGGGACCCCGAGGGGTGTCCTCGGTGCACGGTACCAGGAGGCGGCTCCAGCCCGTGGGGGTCCGGAGGAAGGCGCTGCTCCCTTCCCGCACGTAGACCAGGCTCCCCTCGGGCACGGCGCTGCCCGACTTCAGCATCAGCTCCTTGGACCTGAAGACCCACGTCTGGCGCTGGGGGGCATGGAGAGGTTCAGGGCCCGGCTGCGGGGCAGCCGGACAGTCTGGGGGGGGGGTTCATCCACCGCCGCAGCCAGGACGCACCCGGAGATCGGTGTGGGAGTCCGGTGGCTCAGTCTGAGGGACGTCAGCATCTGGAGAGCCCAGAGAGGGTGGAGGGGTCAGAAGGTGCCCGGGCAAAGTGCCCAGATGCTCCCACGGGAGCCGGCCCCGCAGGGATGAGGTGACGGCAGAAGCTGGGTGGGAGCCAGCTGTGGTTCCGGGGACCCGTGCAGGGTGGCACGGCCCCCGGTGCCCAGGAAGGGAGGCAAGACTTCACAAAAGGTGTTTCCAAGGAGGCCCCAAAACACCTGAGAAATGCCCTTACCTGCTGGCCAGCCTGTATTGCCGGCTGCCTGCGAAGGCAAGCGGGGCCCGTTACTGCCGCTGGGCACAGGGACACCCTTCCCGGTGCATGGGGAGGGGACAGGGTCTCTCCTGGGGACAGAGAGGCTGCGGCTTACCGGCTGCTTGCAGGGTGGCTGGGCACGGATGGGGTAAACCCTCTGGAAGCAAAGACAGGCGGGTTTGTGAAGAGCCCCTCGTGCTGTGCACGCTCACACGTGTGTGTGCTCTGGCACAGGCGTGTGCACAGCCTGCGCTGGGCCTTACATTGAGGTAGAGGAGACCTGGTGCTCCAGGGGGGCCGGGGGGCCCGGGGGGCCCAGGGTTCCCAGGGGGACCTCGAAGACCCTGCAGTAGAGCAATGTGGAGGTTGGGCTGGGCTATTTTGGTGCTGCCTTTTGGGGGGCAGCTATATGACACCCCACTGCTTTCCCTCATCCTCCCCGCTCCGTTCCCCTCCCAGGACTGAAGCTCCGCGGGCCAGGGCAGCTCGCAGACGCGAGCCAGGCAGTGTCTCTCACATGAGGGATGATCGCTCCGTAAACCTCTGTATCCTCTTTGCCGCCCTGCAGAGAAAGAGAGAGAAGATCGAGACTGATCTTCATCCTCCATCCTCTCCGTCCTCCATCCTCCCCCTCTCCATCCTCCCTCCCTCCATCCCAGCTGGGGCTGAGTGCTCGGTGGGGCTGCCAGTGGGGTGAGCCGTGGCGTGGGGCATGCAGAGCTGCCTGGGCTCCAGCAGCAGGGCCCCCAAGGCCAGGCTGGGGTCCCTGGGCACCCCTCACCGTGACGGGGCCCCACGAGCCCTGAGGACTCACCGTGTGGTACCCACTGATGGGCACCCAGGAGCCGGACTGGCTGCCGGTGCTGGGCAAGGGGAGGTGGCCTGGTTTGCACCCGTGTTCCCCGTAGCAGCACCCCTGGGTGAACCGCAGAGAGAGGCACGATTAGAGGCTGGGCTGGGTGGTGGGGAGGGGTGTGCGCACACGCCGTGTGTGTGCACAGGGGTGCACACGTGTGTGCACATGTGTGTGTGTGTGCATGGGTGCCCTGCATGCTTGTGTGGGTGTGCACACTTGTGCACGCTCCGTGTGTGCACGGGAGTGTGCATGTGTGCATTTGCATGTGCCCCAGGGGATGGTGTGACTCTCCCCCTCCCCGTGCCCCAGCCTCTTTTGGGGCTCCGGTGGTGCCGTCGAGGCGAGGTGAAGGCTGGTGCTGCCCTGGCACAGAGAGAGCAGCGGGGGAGCGGGGACAGCGTGTGTGGCTCAGGGCTTCACACTTAGGGTGTGGGGACGGGACCCCCCCAACAACCAGCTCCCCCCACACCGGCACCCATGGCTACAAACCTGCTCTCCGGGGTCACCCTTTTCTCCCTGGAAGCAAAGCAGAGAGGTCCTGTCAGTGCCGCGGGGCGAGGGGTCCCCGGGCACCCCCGGCACAGCACCGTGTGTTTCTCCACGGGGGGGACACCCGCCACAGAGCTGCCGGGCCTTGGCACCGGCCCCAGGGAGCGGCCGCAGGCAATGCCATCCCGGTGCCCTCGCTGCCGCTGCCAGTGCTGCCCACTCCCCTGGCTCACCTTGGGGCCCGGCGGCCCGGCTGACCCGCGGTGCCCTGCGTGGTGGGGGTCACACTGGAAGGAGAGAACGTGCTGGGATGAGCAGGGACTGCCCCCCACCCCTGAGCACCCCCAACCCCGGGACCCCCTTACTCACCCTGTAGTCCCCCGGTGGCCCCGGCGGCCCCATGGGACCGGGCATGCCCGGGGACCCCATCTCTCCGGTCCGGCCAGGGCTCCCCGGCATGCCCGGCAGTCCGTGCTCGCCCTTCTCACCCTGCCGGCACACGGCGCGGGGGGTGGTGAGCATGGGGGACTCAGCACCCCGGGTCCCCCCAGGCCCTGCAGCAGCAGGGCTGGGGCAGCCCCGGAGCCCTCCGACAGGCTCGGTGCTGGGGGCTGCTCCCCACCGGGGCAGAGCGAGGGGCCGGCGAGCCTGGCTGCTCCGTCTCCACCCCGCTGGCTCTGCTCTGGCCCCGGGGCTGTGGGTGGGCTGGGACCCCCTTACCTTTAGTCCGGGGAACCCCGGCTCCCCTCGGAGCCCTGGTTTGCCAGGGAGCGACGCAGGTCCTGTGGGACCGGGGGGTCCTTCGTGCCCAGGCACCCCGGGGAGACCCTGTGGTCCTGGCAGCCCTGGTGCCCCCGGGGGTCCATCTGGCCCAGCTGAGCCTGGAGACCCCGGAGGTCCTTCAGCCCCGGGGAAACCGGGTGGTCCCACAGCCCCTGGCAGGCCTGGGGGTCCCGGCTGCCCCTCCCGCCCAGGGACCCCCGGGGGCCCTTCGTGGCCTGGGTAGCCTGGGGGTCCTGGCAGGCCGGGCAGCCCGGGGGGACCTGGGGGTCCTGGGTTTCCCGCAGGGCTGGATGCTCCCAGCTGCTTGTGGGGTTTGAGGGAGAGAGGAAAGAGAGAGCACAGTCGGTGAAGAGCTGCATCCCATCCCCTGGTCCCCCTCCCCCGGGCTGCCCACCCTCATGGCCACACACCCCAGCCCCCCCATCCCTGCCAGTCCAGCCGCAGACGGACCCCGCAGCCAGCACCGGCATCACTCACCCACCCCCGCATCGCCTGACCATGCCCTCCCCCCCGGCACTCACCTCATTCACCGACCCCTCGGGCAGGGCTACGGGTGCAGGTGGGCTCCTGGCTCCCCACGTGCCTGGGGGTCCCGGGGGTCCCGGGGGTCCCGGCGGACCCGGGGGGCCCCGAGGACCCTGGTGACCTGGCTGCCCCGGGCTGCCGGACTTCCCTCTTTCCCCAGAGAATCCGGGCTGGCCTTTCTCTCCCGGGGACCCTCGGTCGCCTTTCTCTCCCTGTCAGGGAAGGACAGAGCCTGGCTCCTGGCTCCCAGTGCTTTCCTCCGCTGACGCCCACTGCTGGGACCCTCTGCCCCCCTGCCAGGGGACACCTGAGTCACCCCCAAACCCAGACCCTGAAGCGAGAGTCTGAATCCTGAGCAGAAAATATTTTGCACAGCCAAAATAGCTACGGGAGTTCTCCCAGCAGGTCCCTGTGTGTCCCCAAGCCCCCCGTGCCTCTCCCCGGGGAGGACCACCGCACCTTTGGGCCAGGAGGGCCGGGGCGCACGGGGCAGATGCAGCCGGAGCCGTTGTGTATCTGGGGGAGGGAGGGAGAGAGCGGTGAGCTGCGGGCTGGGACCCCCAGCTGCAGGGTCCGACACGGGTGCCCTATGCCCACCTCTCACCTGGAGGGCAGGGTCCTTCTCCAGGGCTGGGGGCACCCGCCGGGGCAGCCCCTTCGCCGTTGTCTGTGCGGAGGAGAGGATGGGCTGAGTGTGAGACCCCCAGCACTGTCCCTAGCCAGCCCCTCACCCGGGGGCCCATCCCAGGCTGCCCCTCACGGCCCCCCTGGGCACCAGGACCCCTCTACCACCTTGATCTGCAGGAACTCCTCTTCCTCCGCGCTCCCCTCGAAGATCTCCTGGGTGGCCGTGGGTCGGTGCTGCAAGGATGGATGGGGAGAGCTCAGTGCGGGGCTCGGGAGGATCCTGGGGGGCACGTGGGACCCTCCCACAGTCGTGGCTGCCCACAGCCTGGGGTGGGGGCTGAGCCCCAGTGCTGCCCGGGGGCTGCACCATGTGGGGGCACGCGGGGAGCTGCCACGGCTCCTTTCCATGGGGGCAGAGGCGGTTGAGCCGTGGCTCAGGGCCGGAGCGGGGCACAGATAAGGGGAAGGACACGGCGAGGGGCCCGGCAGCAGCTGGGGAGTTTTGGGAGGGCTGGGGGAGCTGAGGAGGGGGATGCTGCCCGGGGAAAGGCACCTGGCCTCGTGTGCGTGGTGGGGAATGGCCCGGACCCTTCGCAGCTCCCCTGGCGAGGGGCTCCCGGCGTCTGGGGGCCGTCGCCAGTGGGGGTTTGCTCAGCAGCACCTTCCGCGTGGGCTCCACGCCGCCGGCATCTCCGTCTGCAGGAGCAAAGGGACGGGGGGCGCAGGAGATGGCAGGGCTGGAGGGGGACGGGGGTGGCACACCACTCCCAGTTCCCAGCACCATCTGTAGCCACAGAGGTGCCACCAGCACCCCTGGACCCCGGCACCCCCACGCCTCACCCTCCAGCCTTATGCCAGAGGTGCCCCCTCCTTGCTGGGGTGCAGGAGCTGGGGGTGCCGGGGAAGCTGTGCCCCCCCCCCCCCCCCATGCCTACCTTCCTCCCCGTCCAGGATGGGCTCCGTGGGGGCCGTGGGGCTGGTGTCTGGATCAGGTGTGGTGTCCTCTGAGCCCAGGGGGTAAAACCACTGGGCTGTGGTGGGGGGCAGGCGCCCGGCCAGCACCGAGAGGATGCAGAGCGCGCGGAGGAGGCACCGGGGGCCGCCGGACCCCATGCTGCTGCCCCGGGGCCAGGCTGCCCAGGACGGGGGGGCTCGGCTCATCCCGCTCACCGTCGCCGTCTGGTCCCACGGCCCCGGCACGGCTCCCGCTGTTATCACGGCGGCCCCCGCGCCGCCCGCCCCGCCCCTCGCCCGCCCCGGCACCCGCACCCCACGGGCCACATCCGGGGGGGGCTGAGCACCCAGGAGGCCAGGTCACCCTCTGCCCCACGGGCCAGGGGCAAGGAGGGCAGCCGGGAACTGCGGGGAAGGGAGCCAGGGCCAGGAGCTGCTGGAACTGAGGCGAGAGAGGGCTGGGGAGGAGATGCTGCCTGGAAACGGGGAGTAAAACCAGCGAGGAGGGGAGTGGAGGAAGGGGTGGCTGAGAGCAAGGGAGCATCGGCCGGGTGCTCTGCGGGGTCTGCCCGGCTGCTGGTGCCTGGCACTGGGAGGGGACGGAGCCCAGCTCACGGTCAGCCTGGCTGAGCCCTGGGGTCTGGGCTGCGAGAGCCCCGGGGGTGTCGGGGTCCTGCAGCGGGTGCAACAGCTGAGCCCTGCAGCGTGCGCAGCCACCGTGACCCACAGCGGGTGCAAAGGGTCCTGAGTCTCCCCAGCTGTTTCAGGGCCCCCCTTGGCTGGGGGTCTCCAGCCCCCTCTAACCCCCAGTCCCACTCCTGCCCCTGCCCTGGCTGGGGTTGCTCCAGACGCTGCGTGGGGTAGTTGCAGGGAAGCAGCCTGAGCCCCCACCAGCCTCAGGAACCCCAAAGAGCCACCGAGGTTGGGAAGGACATGCTGGGAGCCCACAGGTCCCCAGGGCTGGGGGCATGGGGGCCCAGGGCTGCCCCGTCACAGGCGGGGAGCTGGGCTGCACTGAGCATTGGCCACGCACCGAGCACCGGCCACGCACCGAGCACCCTCCTTAGCTGCAGGGCTGTGGTCGGGGTGCGGGACAACGTGGCTGTGGGGTGCACCAGCCCAGCCCCTCTCCATCTCGCAGGATAGTGCTGAGACCAGGACCTGGAGGAGCTGTGCTGGGCCAGAGGAGGGGGGGACGGCCCCCAGGGCTGCATAGCGAGAGCGTCCCTGTCCCCTGCATGTCCCGCCGGAGGCCGGCGCTGCCCCGCTGCCTCTGCCCGCAGACACAACAATCTCCCGAGCGGGCGCTGGGCGCTGCCAAGGCCTGATAAGGAGCCGCGGCCCCAGTGGGCCTGGGAACCTGTTTGGGTTTGGGCCCCCCCTTGGCCACCGTGTCAAGGCTGGTGCCTCTGTCCCGAGTCACGGCCACCGCGCAGCAGTGCCAGGCAGGGCAGGGGCTCTGGAGCGGCGCTGGGTGCCGGTGGCCCCTGTGCGAGCTGGGAGGGGAGAAGGGGGGCTGGGGATTGTGGGGGACACGGCCCCTGCCCCCCTTCTAAGTCCCACCCGCCTGCACGCTTGGTGCTGCCCAGCTCCCCTGCAAGGGAGAGAAAAGATGCTCCTGGGAGCCCCTGCGGCCAGTGCCACCAGTGCTGGCACTCGAGCCCCAACACGCCGGTGTGAGCACTAGCCTTACTCACCCCTGAGATGAATTTGGGGTTCTCAGCCCAGGCCCTGCATGACAGGCTGTCTCTGCTCCCCTTGTCCCACCCACTACACCGAGCCCAGCACCAGGGCCCCGCAGCGAGCCCCGATGTCTCAGTGTTTAATGACTGTTAATTGCCATGTTACGGGGTGCGGAGCGCGGTCGCAAACTCCAGCGGCGCAGTCGGTTCCTCGGCAGGGCCAGCGCAGGGTGACGGTCACCTTCCTGTTGGGCTGCACCGTGTCCCCGTTGGCGCTGGGGATGGTCGGGGTCATCTCGTCAGCCTTTGTGCAGTGCCGGGTGGCGATTTTGCCGGTGTGGACCAGGGCCACCGTGGTGACACGGCCAGCACCCAGCTGCTGCTGTGCTGGTGTGTCCCTGGGCATGCGGGACAAAGCTCCCCGCAGCGCCCAGCCGCTCCTGGTCCCATGGCACCAGTTCAGCAAGTCTCTGCCTTACCCCTGACCACAGGGACAGGGGGGGTCTGTGCCCTTGACCCCCCCTCCCCCCGGCAGCAATCTGGGTGCATGGGGACCACCCGTGTGAGGCCAGCCTTGGCACTGCGGCATCTCAAGCCGGGCAGTCAGCTTGTGCCAGAGCTCAGCTCACCCCAAGCTGTGTCCAAGCCCACCCCCCCCCCCCGCCACGGCCAGGCGGGTCCCCCCGGCTGCCCTGAGCCCGGCGCTGGCTGAGCTGCCCCTGCCCGGGGACTGCGGGCACTGGTGGTGGTGGGGGATGCTCGGGCTCCCCGCCCGTCTGTCTCCCCGTTTTCCTAAATAGCCACTAGATGCCGGCAGCTTTCAACTTATCCCGGGCCGGTGCGGGGCCGGGGGGGGGGGGAGCCGGCGGTGCCGCCCCGGGGTGTCCCTGGCAGAGCGGGCCCGAGCTGCCCGGGATGCCGGTGCTGCCGGCAGCGCTTTTGCTCCCGACCCCGGGACCCGGAGCCCACCCCGGGCTGCCCCACGCTGGGGGTCTTGACCCCAGCCCCCCCCCCCCCCCGCGATGCAGCCCCGTATGCTTTCCCCCCCCCCTCTCCCAATCCATCCCAGTGGCTCTTCGGAGCGGACGGGCGGCGGCGGGCAGGGTGGCGGGGAGGCTGCGGCCGGGGGAGGGAGGGCGGGGGGGGGGGGCGTGTGTCACAGGGCCGGGGGGCTCCGGGCTGCCCGGCGCCGGCGGCCCCGGTGCTGAAACCGCCGGTGCCGCCGCCCCCGTCGGAGGGAAGCGACTCTCCCCGGTGGCTTCCCGGGGGCGGCCCCGCCGGTGGCCCCGGTGCCGGCGGCGGGAGGTGTGGCCAGGGGCCGCATAAAGCCGCCCGCCGCCGCCGCCGCCCCGCGCCCGCCGCCAGCCGAGCGCCGCCAGCAGCGGGGCGCGGAGGGGCGCGGAGGGGCGCGGAGGGGCGCGGAGGGGCGCGGAGGGGCGCGGAGGGGCGCGGAGGGGCGCGGAGGGGCGCGGAGGGGCGCGGAGCCGCCATGCGCGGGGCCGCCGGGCGCGATCTGCCGCTGGTGCTGCTGGTGCTGGCGGCGGCGGCGGCGGGGCCGGGAGGCGGCGAGGAGGCGATCCAGTGCCCGCCGTGCTCGGAGGAGCGGCTGGCGCGGTGCAAAGCTCCGCAGGGCTGCGCGGAGCTGGTGCGGGAGCCCGGCTGCGGCTGCTGCGCGACCTGCGCCCTCGGCCGCGGCACCGCTTGCGGCGTTTACACCGCCCGCTGCGGCGCCGGGCTGCGGTGCTACCCCCCCCGCGGCGTGCCCCGGCCCCTGCACACCCTCATGCACGGCCAGGGCATCTGCACCGACCTGGCCGACGTCGAGGCCATCCAGGAGAGCCTCCAGCCCCCAGGTAAGGGCGGCGGAGGGGCGAGGGGGGAGTTCCCGGGGGGGGGCCCGCGGCCCCCGTTTGCACCGACGCGCTCGCCGCTCGCTTGGCAAGAGTTGGGGCTGGAGGGCCGGGAGCTGGGGGGGGACCCTGCAGCACCCCGGGATGGGACAGTCTGGGGGGGGTGGTGGTGGTGGGCTGCGTCCCAGGGAGGGAGCGGTGCTGAGCTGCCCGAGCATCCACAGCCCGGTCACATTCGTGCCGTCCTTACCCACGGCGGGCACTGCAGTGCCACGACCAGTGCCCACGCGTGCTGGAGCGGGGTGCTTCGCAGGGACTCGTCACTCGGGGTCCCGCAGGCACCCGTGGCCTCTGGGGACAGGTCCCAGCTGCCGGGGGAGCTCCCATTGCACGGTGACCCCTGCGCTGCCCCTGCCCCGGGATGCTGCCGGCAGCTCTGCCCGCACTGCCGGGAGGAACCGAGGAAGAGGCCTCGGGGCACCTGCGGCCCTCGCAGACAGCTCCGGCTGGGCTCGGGACGCTGCCAGGAGCTGTGTCCTTCCCACAGCTGGCCGGGGCAGCGGGGTGCAGGCAGGGCCAGGTGGGAGAACCCCGCTGCCTGCAGGCTCTGCCTACGTGTGTCTGGCCCAGGACCCTCTCGCAGGTGCTGATCGTGGTCCCTTGCCACCCTCCTGGTGCTCAGGCTGGGGGCCGGGAGCGGAGCCGGAGGTGGGAGCCCAGCCCCAGAGCTTCGCTGTGGCTTTGACAGTGGGAACGGAGCCGCTCCCGGGGGCTGAGCGTGGGGACAGTGGGGCTGGCCCATTGGTGGGTCTGGATGCTGCGCTCCCCCTTCCCCGGCCTGTGGGCTGTGATGGGGACCACGTCCCCCTGGAGATGGGGAGCAGCATCCCGCCACGGGACGGCCCACAAGCCGCCCTGTGTCCCTGTGCGGGGTCACCCAGGGCTCCCCGTGGGGCAGAAGGGGCTGGAGCAGTGTCCCCATCCATCCCGAGGGCCCGATCCCAGCTCCATTCCCACCTGGCATGGCTGGTCCATGGCAGTTCTGCCGGTGTCCCCCTGATGAGGACTGCCCTTTGTGGATGGGCCCCTCCAGCAGCCCCCCTCCAGGAATGGGTTTTCTGTGAGTGCTCGGCATGGGGTCCGCTGCGGGGACCCCCTGCCCTGCCTGTCTGTCCTCATCCCACATCCTGCAGGAGCTGTCTGGGCTCCCTGGCCCGGGGCTGTGTTGGGCTGCCAAGGCCTGTTGGTTTTGGCTGTGCCCCGTGTAACGCAGCATTTTTTCCCAGAGCCTTTAGGAAACAGACTTGCAGTTTTTTCCCTTCCTTCCCATGGTGTTTTGGCCTTGCTGGGGATGGGTGGGTGGCCGTGGGAGCTGGGCTGGCCCGCTGGGCACCACGCTTGCCTGCAGCATTGCAGGTGGCGGGACGGGGGAGCGGACAGCGGTGAGCCCCTTTGCCCGGGACAGCCTGGCAGGACACCCCACAGCACTTTGCTCGGTGTGGCCCCGGTGGGAAGGTCCCAGTGGGGTGTCCGAGCCGTGGGTCCCTGTCCTGTTCCGGCAGCCTGGAGCCAGTGGGAGTGTGGGGCTGGAGGCTGCAGGCTCCATCGCTCCCCCCACAGCCCTGCCTGGCACAGCGAGAGCACCCCGGCACGGCCGGTGCATCCGATCGGTCCCCTCCGGGTAAGCAGAAGGGAATTGAATGCCTATTTAGGGGCAGGGGTGTCCCTAGCAGGTGCCCCCCAACTGCGCCTGCGTCCCCCGGGGCTGAGCGGGTGCCGGGCGAGCGGAGGCCGCCGCGGGCAGGCGGCTGGGAAGCGGTTAACGTGCAGCTCGTACAGTAAACACTTTGTGTGGGGGCTCGGCCTGGGGGGCTCCGCATTCCAGGGAAGAGGCTGGGATCGGTGGGGGGGGGGGCTGGGCTGAGGCTGGGCTTTCCGAGGGGTTGGGCGATGGCTCCATGGCTCCCAGCTCCATCGCCAGGAAAGAGCCTCTCTGCTCGCCTGGGACTCGAGGCACCCGTGGGACGGGACTTTCCAGGCAGACAGGGCGCGGGTGGCCGCTCTCCTGACCCGAGACCCTCTCCCAAGGCTGCGGGTCTGGACACCTTGTGCAGGACCCTGGTCCCTGCCTGCCAGCTCCGGGCTGGCTCCGAGGGCATCCCACAGTGATGGGGCTGGCCCCCGGAGCTTCCAGCCGCGGCTTTTCGGCACAGCCAGAGGGTGCCCGGGAGAGGCGATGGCTGAACCCACGTGTGGCAGGCGGGAAGAGGCGAGGACGTTTTTCCCCAGCACACATGATGAGTGATTTCATGCTGGGTAAATAATTATGTCTGGGAAAAGCTGACCCCATGGGAGTTGCCGTTCATCCCACGTGGTTGCTGTAAGCAGTGGCTGGGATGGATCCTGTTCCCTTCCTGTGTGCAGTGACCGGCAGGGACGGCGGTGGCCGAGCCCCGGCTGCCCAGTGCGCAGGCAGCAAGGACAGGCTGGGTTCAGCGTCCACCCCAAGTGCATCTGTCACTGCCCCTTGTCACCCGGTCAGGGGGCCGGGCGAGGCTGTTGCCCTGGGATGGGGTCTGGCCTTTGCCTGGGCTCAGGTTTCTCCGGGCTGGGCGCTGCTCCCAGCGCGGCTCTGGTCCCTGTGGACAATCATCTGCATCCCTCGCTCCCTCGCCCGCATCTCCTCCGTCAGGCTCACGTTGGGTGCTGAGCCGGCAGCTGTGGGTGTGCTGGGCTGTGTCTGAGCGCAGCGGGGCTCAGCGGCGTGTCCCCAGGGGATGGGGATGGGCCAGGCTTCCCGCCCGGTGTCCCTGGCCAAGGGGCAGTAGGTGCCTGTGCCCCAGCCACCCCCGTGCCCCAGCTCCCCACGTTCTGCCGGAGCCAGCGCTCAGCAGGATGAACGCAGACTTCCCCGCGCCGGCGCCTGCCAAGTGGAGAGCCCCCGCAGCCAAGAGAGCCGGCGCTGTGCCGCGGCCCTGCCAGGACCACCCGCAGGCGGCACCGGGGCTGCCAGGCGGGGAAACGGAGCGTGCTGGGACTCCCTGCGCCTCATGGGCCGTGTCGGCTGCAGACACGTGGACGTGTCCCCTCTGGCGCGTGGGGTCCTTTGCACCTGGGTTGGTGGTGTGGGGGGGAGTGGGGCTGGGGCTGCAGGGACCCCTGACACTTGTCCCTCTCCCACGGACACACACACGGTCCCCAGGGCTTCGCCCGCTGCCCGGGGCTCTCCTCCCACCGGAGCCGCGCGGTGGAGCCCGGAGCCCTTCGCTGCTTCCTCGGGCTCAGCGCGGTGAATCACAAGTTCGGCATGTGACCAACCTCATTTGCAGCTCCCGTTAATTGAAGGCGACGCTGAATGACTCGTTTGTGTCTCCTGTCTGCGGGCCGAGCAAAAGGCCGGGCAGAAACCCTCCTCCTGCTGGGATGGGGCGGCTGCTCTGCGCCCCTTCCCACCCCACACTGAGCAGAGGGGCTTCCACCGCCCCAGGCTCCCTTCTCCGTGCCTTTGTGCGTGGCTATGAGGAGTTTCCTCATCCGGCTGGTGCAGGAGGATTGCCAAGGGAGGCAAGAGGCTCCTCCAGCTGCTGCGTGTTGCTGAGCGGGTGGGAAAATCGCCCCAGGGACTGCGGCGATCCCGGGTGCAGGGAGGGATCCTGGAGCTGGTGTGAGAGTCGGGGGGACCGCGGGTCCCAGAGCTCTGTCCCCAGAGCCGAGTGCTGGCAAGAGCTTCCTGGCTGCCCGGAGGCATCGACGTTTCATGTGACCTTATGAAAATGTTATTGGCATCTGGTTTTATTTAAGCCGAGAGATTTGACGCTCTGAAGGCGGCTGGTGGGGGGAGGAGGGTTGTTTGTCCGTGCTGGGGCTGGGTGAGGGCTTCCCTCGGGGCAGAGCAGGCAGTGGGCGCTGCCTCCCAGTGCTGCCTTTCCGCGGGCGGGAGCAGCACAGGAGATGCCGGGACTTTGGCACAGTGGTCCCCATTGGTGCCACATCTTCTGCCTGGCTCTTCCTGGTGTTTTTCCCCGTGAGGCGTAGGGGGAAGGCAGGGGAGGGAAGGAACATCCCTGCCTGAGCCCCCTGAGCCCCCGGCCAGACTCTGCTGCCAGCGCCTGCATTGTGCCACAGCCGGGGCTGGCATAGCTCTGCGCGGGGTCCTGGGGACTTTGGGTTTGTGTTTCAAATTTCAAGGGCATGAGCCGTTTCCTGGAAAAAATCTGACAGATTAAACAAAAAGCAAATAACACGAACGAAGGAGAAGGCTTTGATCGGGGCTTTGCTGTGAACTTTAACCGGGCTGCTGGGAGCTGGTCCAGGAGCCCTTCGCTGGCGGGGAGCTGCCGCGGGAGGTGCCGATGGGAGGTGCAGGCTGGAGGCTGCGGCTCCGACCCCGCTGCCTGCGGGAACGGCCAGGACCGGGCATCACCCCGGCAGGCTCCGTCCCTGGTGCTCAGAGCCCCTGGGTGCTACCACCCATGCTGCACCGTGACCACCCCCCGCCTGCTTTGGGAAGGATTTTTCCATTGCCGGCTGCAATATTGATTAATATAAGCCCAACTCTGGGTTAGACTCGGGCAGGGAGCCCTGGCCGCTTTCCTCTTACAGCCCAGGCGGGTTGGGAGTCAAAATGCTGCTCGGGCTGTGCCTGACGTGGCTCCGAGTGCAGGCGGGACCGTGGCTCCCCGGGGTGTCCCCGCTCTGCAGAGTGTTAATGGGCCCCAAACCGGAGGGACTGGCAGCTTTTTAAAAAATAAAGTTGCACCAAGAGCTCAGGTCTCATGATGCTCCATCCAGCTGCCAACATCTGGGATCGCAGTTTGGCTGCGCTCCTGGCGCAGGCGAGGATGCCAAGCGCCGCCTTTCGGGATTGGCCCCGCGGGAGATTAACTTTCTTATTCCAGGAATTTCTTCTTTCATGTCTTCGCGGGGGCTGTGCCCCGTGGCAGAGCACGGCTCTGCTCCTGGCTGCGGTGCCCGGTGCCGCCCCGGGCCTGGCGGGTCCTCAGCACCTCCCCTGTGTCCCCATTCCCACTGTAGCTCCTCAGAGGCAGCTTTCTGGGGGCACCGGGGTCTTCTTGGGGCTCCCTGGCTGTGTGCCCCGGGGTCACCTTCCAGCCTGGTGGGTCCAGTGCCGTGGGCAAGCAGCCGATGCCTGGTGGCACGTGGCTGGCCAGGGCCCAGCCAGACCCCCGTGCCGCGCAGCACACCGGAGCGGCTGCCCGGCGCTCTCGCAGCGTGCATTTGCAACCCCAGAATAACAGATGCAGGGCAACAAGCCCGTGAATCGCGGCTAACGAGTCGTAAAAACTCCCAGGAGCGTTTCCCAGCTGCCGGGAGAGCTCAGCCCAGCGCGGTGGCAGGGGCAGGACGGGACCTGGGGCTGGGGGTGACGCCTGTGGGGGGACCGGGGAGGCTGGTGGGGGGTCCAGCAGCACCGGCTGCACCCTGTGCCTGGGGGTGCAAGTTGCTTCGTGGGGGCTGGGGCACCGCGGGGACACTGGGGACACCGCGGGGACACCGCTGTCCCCAGGGATGCCCCAGGGCACTGAGTGTGTGTGTCCCCCCCCACCCCTCCCCGGCCTGTGTCCTTGCAGAGAAGGAGGAGATCGACCACCCCAACAACAGCTTCAGCCCCTGCAGCATCCACGACCGCAAGTGCCTGCAGAAGCAACAGGCGAAGCGCGTCAACAACGGCAACAAGATGCGCAACAGCGGGAGCCCGTACCACCGCGAGGAGACGCGGCCCATAGTGAGCACTGCGGCGGGCGGCACCGGGGCGGCGCTGGGCCGGGGGGGCAGGATGGGTGCTGAGCACCTTTGGGCCGTGCTCCAGGGTCGAGGTGCTGGGGTGGGGGGATGCCAGCCTCTCCAGCCCCGCTGCCAGCTCAGCGCCTGCCCTCCCCCCCCCCCCCCCCCCCCCCCCCCCTTCCCACAGGCACAGGGCTCGTGCCAGAGCGAGCTGCACCGGGCGCTGGAGAGGCTGGCGGCCTCGCAGACCCGCACCCATGAGGACCTGTACGTCATCCCCATCCCCAACTGCGACCGCAACGGCAACTTCCACCCCAAGCAGGTAGGACGGGCTCTCGCCCGTGCTGGGGGTGCCGCTCGCGCGGGGGCATTTTTGCAGAGCCAGGGTGAGGCTGGGAGGGGGACACGGGTGGACGGGCTGGTGCCGGGGCACAGCAGAGCCCACCCGCGGCTCCTGCATGGGTGGGAATCGCCCTCCAGGTGTTGTGGGGCCCTTTGCAAAATCCCTGGGGTGGGATGGGGGTGGCAAAGCCCCTGTGAGAGCCCCTGGTTGCCCCAGCCTGGCAGCCCACGGGGCTGGGGGCCAGGCTGGGCACCCCCTCACCGAACCCATCCCCTCAGTGTCACCCAGCGCTGGACGGGCAGCGGGGCAAGTGCTGGTGCGTGGACCGCAAGACGGGGGTGAAGCTGCCGGGCTTCCTGGAGCTGAAAGGGGACTTGGACTGTCACCAGCTGGCGGACAGCATGTGAGCACGACCGCGGCGGCCCCGCGCCGTGCCGCGGCCAGGACACCCCCCGGGGCCGCGTAGGAGAGGAAGAGAGGGGACGTGAGCGCCGAGCAGCTCCCCGGTGCCGGGGGATCCCGGCACGCACCCCGGCTCGCCACTGCGCTCTGCGCCACGGGCTGCCCACGGCACGGGGCACGGCACCACGACCTGTGCCACAAGCACTAGCTGCCACCGCCGAGGGGTCCCCGGCGCGTGCCAGCAGCACCTCCATCCCGCACGGACACTTGCTTGGACAGATGCTGCCCCGGGGCTGGGGTCCGGCTGCCGGGGTGGAGCGAGTGGAGAGCACCCACGATGCTGCTGCCCACCCATCCCGTTGTGCCCCCCCCCCCCCCCACCGGATTTCTCCCCGGCCCCTCCATGCTGTGGCGTGGCCGGGGCACCCAGAGCCCGGCGGCTGCGGCAGAGGCTCAGCTGCTGCCCCGGCCCAGCCCCTCGTGGGGTGCCACAGCAGCACCCCCACCCACAGTGCCTTGCTGTCCACCCCAGACCTCTGCCTGTGGCAGCAGAAGTGCCTCATCCCGCCCTCCCCGGCGGCGGGAGGCTGCCCGGGCAAGGACCGGGGGGGGCCTGGAGACACCCCCCCTCCCCACCTGCCTAGGGCCCTCCCTGCCACCATCTCACCCAAAGCGTGTGGGTGTGACGGGCATCGCAGCCGCACAGGGCGATAAGAGACCTTCCCCCTCCCCGCTGCCGCCCCCCAGCCCCCCGGCCCAGCCCCATCCTGCTCCCCGTGCAGGGACAAAGGTGGCGGCCGCAGCGTTGCCCCCCCCCATCCATCCTGTGTCCCCCTGCCCGTCCCTGGGGCGAGGGGGGGTCGGGCACCCCCAGGTGTGCAGGGGTGCATCCCTGCAGGGAGGGTCGGGGGACGAGGGATGCCCAGGAAATTTCTCCCAGCAGGAAGGGCTTCTTTTGTGGTGTTTTTTTTTTTTTTTTTTTTTTGTTTTTTTTTTTTTCCCCAAAGATTTTTAATATTTAAAAAATGTTGCTGGTGTGATCTTAAAACTGACCGTGTGGCCCCTGAGGCTGAAATCCTCCATCTCCGCAGAACGGGGCACCACTGGTGATGGTTTCTGTCTTCTCTTCTTCCAACTTGGCCAACATGACAAAACTGGGATGAATTTCTGGAACGTCTCAGTGATGGGATCTGCAGATTTTGCCAGCACAAAGTTCTCAGCTGAGAAATTGTAACTATTTTTGTAGGGTGTTTTTTTTCCGTTTTTTTTGAAGCTCTTCTGTGGGAGCCAGCTGGATTGGAAATTTTTCACCTGAATGTCTTTTAGGTGAGAAACGGCTATTCTGGCTGCCATGGCAAGCATGCCAAAGGCGGAGGGGATTTTGCCAATCACCCCCCTCCAAGACACCCCCCCCCCCCCCAGCTCTGTGGCCACAGCGGGAGGTTTTGGGTTTCTGTGTGGATTTGCCCTGGCCATGCCGGCAGGTGCCAAGGCACAAAATGTTTCAGTTTTAGTGAAACGCCCTTGTGCCCCCCTGGACCCCAGCAGCTCCCTGGCGCGGCGCGGCACGGCACAGCGCGGCACAGCAGCTCCCCGGCACGGGGCTGGGGGTGACGTCCCTGCGTGTCTCGGCGGGGACACGGGTGGGGACAGGGATTGGCGAGTGCCACCATCGTGCTGGCCGGCCGGCGAGGGCAGAGCGAGCCGGGACAGGGGCTGACGCTGGGCTCAGCGTTGCAGCTTACCGGCACGGCTTCGCCTGGCTTTTTGGTCGGGTGACAGTGTCCCCATGTCACGCCCCGTGTCCCCAGCTGCACGTGTCCCAGCGTGGCCCCAGCGCCTTCCACCACGGGTCCCGTGGGGCTGCGCTCCTGCCCCTGCCCTGCTGCAAAGCGCTGGCCCCAGCAGCGTCCTGCGGAGCTGTCGAGCTGCCGGCTGCATCCCTGCTCGGTGCCTCACCGGGCTCCTGCCAGCCCCCCTGCTTGGGATGGCACTGTGCCGGACCCCCGTCCTGCCCCCCCCGTGCCCTGCCAGACCCCGTGCCTGCCCCACTGCCTGCCTGCTTGGAGGTCCCTGCTGGAACCCCCAGACCCCCCAGTGCAAGGCTGGGGTTCCCAGGGCGCGGGGAGGTGCTGCTGGGGACCATGGCTGGTCCCGGTGCGGGTCCCACGTGGCCGCGCCAGCAGACAGCAGTGGGGTGCAGGATGTGGTGGCAGCCCCAGCCCAGTGGGCTCAGCCCCTCCAGAGCCTCCCGGGCAGCGCTGGCAGATCCAGCGGAGCCTCTCCCAGTTTTGGGGTGGCCAGGGGGGTGACTGGGGGCACCGGTGCTCGCCAGGGCTCATTTTGTGTCCAGCTCAGAGGGCTCCAGTGATTTATATCGTCTCTCCTGTAGTTTAAGGCTGTATTTACACACGCTCATATACCAGCGTAAGGCTCCCCAACCCCAGCGGCGTTTTTCCACGCCAGTGTGATTTCTGTCAGTTCCTCCTGGGCCAAGCCCATCCCTTCGGTCTCCCATGTAGCACCAACCCTCTTTTGCAGTAAACTTGAACCTTTGTATTGTCAAAAAAAAAAAAAAAAGGTAATTACTATATTTAATTTTCCCTGTTATTTAATGTGTTTCTATCAAGTGCATTTTATCTTTGCATTGCTTTAAAGAAGAGTGGGGGGAGCAAAGCAGAGGAGGAGCGAGGGGTCCCTGGACATCCCACCCAGTTGGGCGCTTTGTTCCTGTAGTGCCAGGGTGAGCTGTATGGAAACACTCCCCATCCAAGCAAGCCGAATTAAACCAGAAAGCACCCGTGACCTCAGCACCCTCCTGCCGCCATCTCGAGCCCCGGCAGAGGGTGCAGGAGCGGCGCTCGCAGCCCCGACCCGGGGGAGGTTTAGCTGCTGGGCCGCGCTGCCAGCGCACCCCGGCTCCCGAGCCCCCGTCCCCGGGGACCACCAGTGGGACCAGCGCCGGCTCCTCGGCCCTGGGAAGTGCCGGTGCTGGTGGTGGGAGCAGAGCACCCCGGAACCGCCCAGTGCTCCAGGACGAGGGGTACAAGGCGTGCACCCACAAAAGCCTGGCCCCCTCTTTGCCATGGCTACAGGGGCTGTGGATGGCTCCGGCTCCAGCCCTCCCCCCCCCCCCCCCCAAATATTTGATGGTTTCTTGGGGAGCAGCGTGGCTGCACCAGCTGCCGGCAGGGTGAGCGAGGAGGGAGTCTCGGTAGCAGTGAGGGACACCACCCCGGAGCGCCGGTGGGTCCCTGCTCCCCAGGAGACCCTCCGCTCCTCTCCCCGAGCTCCCGTGGGCGCAGGCTGGGCCCTGGGCTGCTCCTCACACCCCCCGGGCAGGGGCCCCCTTTGGGCACCTCCATAGGCACCTGCCAGCGCTCTGCCAGGGGCCGCAGAGCAGGATACGGGGGGCCGGGCGGGGGGGAGCTGGGGAGGGTGGGGGGGCTGGATTCGGGGCAGCTTGGAAGCGGAAAAAATACCGGAGCTGAAGAGTGTCTGGTTTGTAGATCCCGGGACTGGGCTGCGGGAGCGGGGCCAGCGCCTGGCTGCGCTCAGCGGCATCTGCAGCCCACAGGGTTGGGGGCCGGTGCTGGGAATCCCACCGGTGTGGGGACAGGCTCGGCCGTGCCATCCCCCCCCAGGCTGGGGGACACCGCGCTGGGTTCAGGGTTCAGCAGCCCCCAAAACCCAGGCACCCACAAAGCGTCAGGAAGAGCTACGCCGAGCAGGGATGGGGCGGGGAGTGGAGGATTTCGTGCCTCCTTGTGAGTCCCAGCTCAGCTTCTGGTCGGTCCCACCGCGAGGGCAGCGAGGATCGTCACCGCCGGCCCCGCGCAGCGGCACAGAGCAGCGGCGGGGACAGGAGACGGTGCCGGGCTGGGATGAGACACTGGACGGGCTTCAAAGTTCAGGGGAGGGCAGGGACAGGCACCGGCTTGCACCAGGGTGACGCGCTCGTGGCCAGGCAGTGCCACCGTGCCAGCCCGTGGCACATGCAGACGTGCGCGCAGGTGCCGGTACGCACCGAGCACCACCGGCTCCGCTCAGAGTTTTGGAAGGGTGTCAGGGGACGCAGCTGGGAGATGCCCAAGCGTGGGAATGCCGGCGGCCACGTGCCTCCCGGCTGCCCGGGGTCTCCCGGCCGCGGCTCGGTTGTCTCACGGTGTTTGCGGCGGACGTGCTGGCCGGGGTGGCTGGGAGGGGGGGTGGCATTGCCTGCGGTCGCCTCACGAGAGGACAGCTGGGTCCCCGGGGCCGGGGGTGTTGTTTGGGGCCGGCGCCAGCCTAACGCTCCGGTTAGCGGAGCTGCGCGGCCGGCGGTGCCTGGGGTTGTGCAAACACGCCGAGGAGCTGGGCCGAAGGCGGCCGGCGGCAGCCAATGTAGCCAAGCGCTGTAATTTGCTGGCGCAGCAGATCGGCAGCCGGACCAGGGCAGACGCCAGCTCTCCTGGAGCCCGGCCCAGCGCCCCGGCCCCGCACCGACGGCTGCCTGGGGCTGGGGCTCCCCGGGGCTCCCCTTCGGGGCCCCCCCTCTGCCTGCTCCCAGCCTTGGCGGCTGCGGGGGGCACCGGGCTGGGCTTGGGAACTGGTTTGGCTGGAGAAATGTGTGTGTGCGTGCCTTTGGCAGAGCCGCTGCTGGGCTGCCGGGAATGTGGGGGCTGGTGCTGCGGGGCCTGGGGGGGGTGGTTTGTTTGCCCGTGACGCTTGTGAACTGGGGGGCACCCGCCTCCCTCCCCAGCTCCCCCAGGTGCTGCTGCTCCTCCTTGTTGTCCAAGGGAGGGCTGGGGACTTTTCCCTCTTCTGCAGGTCACCAGGAAGCTGGTGACAGGAGGAAACCGAACACCCCCACCCCCCCTGTGTGTTTGGGGGTGCTGCCAGCGGGGACCCCCGGGCAGGGCTGTGCCGGGCAGCCTGGATGCGCAGGACCCTGCGGTGTCGGGTTGGGGGAGGCAGGCGGTGCTGCTGCCCCCCCAGCACTGCCCGGGGGTGGCTCTGGGTGCGGGGTGAACCGGTCCCCATTGCCTCGGGGGGCGAAGCTCCGCACGCTCCGAACCCGCAGCAGCCAGCAGCTCCCCGTCCCCCGCGCAGGACGAGGATGTTTCTGGGCAGAAACCCCCCGGGGCCGCCCCGCTGCCACCCACCCCGCTGCCACGGGGCTCGGTGTGTCGCCCACGCAAGTGCACGCGTGTCTGTGCACCCACGCAGGGGGTTGGGTGGGCGCCGGTGGGATCCGTGTCCCCGTCGCCAGGGACAGCCCGGCCACACGCTGCAGCATCGGTGGCTTTCAGGGTCTTGCTGTGCCTGAGGACACGGGGCTGCGCCCACCGGCCGTGGGAGCTGCTGGGAGCAAACGCGCGAGCCCGGCCGGGACAGGGGCCGGGTTTATTACAAAATGGCTGGAACCGGACCCAGGAACCAAAACCAAAAGCCGCGCTTCCAGGAAGCCTGGGACAAACTTTGGAAGCCACGAGGAGCTCAGAGAATTGTTTGTTTTTTCCTGAATCCAGGTGGTTTTGGCTGAACTGTCCCTGCAGTGTCTGGGCCCGCGCTCCAGTTACGCTGCGCTGGAAAAAGGTTTTCAATGAACTAAAAATTCCACGTGCGGAAGACGGCGCTTGGCGATGGGCCCGCTCCCTGTCCCAGAATGGTCCCAAAGCGGGGGGAAGCAGCCATCACCCTGTTGCCCAGAAGATGAACCCTCCCGGTTGTGGCTGGAGATCTGCAAAAAGGAGCTGGGTTTGACGGTGCAGGGGAGCAGCGTGCGGGGGCCCGGGCTCGGGGGCAGCAGCGTGATCTCCCCCCCCCCCCCCGCCAAGCACCATTTGGAGCCCAAACCTTTGAATTTTCACATTCCCCTTGTGCTTTTGTTGCTGTCTCAACAGCGCCGTGGGCTGCACATCCCGCAGGGTCCCCAGGCCGGGGTCCTGCCACCGGCACAGCGCTAATGAAGGGTTGGTTAATTAAAACAGCTCTGCATGCACCCTGCAGATGGGCTGGGTGTGGTCAGGGTGTGGCAGGGCGTGGCAGGGCGGTGTGGTGCTGAGCCCCCTCGCCAGCCGCATCCCGCACTGCAGCGGGTTGCATCCTGCTCTCCCACGGGGGGGGCTCGGGGTCCCTGTGGGGCTGGGGCTGAGCTGCGTCCCCCCCCCCCCGAGCTGCCCGTGACCTTGGGGCGCCGCATCCCCCCCGGCCTTTGCAGCGCTGGGGACCCCGGGGGGGTCACGGGCTCCCCCAGCCCGGCCAGGCTGGGTGCTGGGTTTTGGCTGCGCAGAGCTTAGGGCAGACAGCCGGGGGGGGCACAAAGCCCTTCGTTTCTCCTCCTGGAGCCGGGTGCTCCCCCCGGCCCCCGCAGTAACTCAAATATCTGGTTTTAGCGTCGCTGGCGAGCTGTTGCATCTGGCCGCCGGTCCACAGCCCGGCTGGAGCAGAGCGGCTTTTTTTTTTTCTGTGCAACGCAGTTGGAGAGAGCAGAGCAACGCGTTTCAGCCGCTGACATCTCTGCAGTGCTTGCGGCGAGATCAAGGGTCCTCTGCTTTATTGAAAATACACCCGAGCGGGGTTTGTTAGCACGGGGTCCAAAATTAAAACAACATAGAGGCACGAGGTAAGCGAGTGCTAAGGGAGATGACTGTGGTGGGCTCGGAGCTGCCCTACTCCACTCTGACATTACAGCAAGAGCTGAATCTTCAGCTGGTGTAAATCACGGCCGCACTGACTTCCACGGGGCTGCGCCAATTTACGTCATCTGAGGATCTGGCCCAAATTCTCGTAAGCCATTTCCAAAAACCCAACATTTGACTGTCATGAAAATGTCAACATTTATTTCTCAGCTTGCCGCGATGCCTGGAGGTTGAGCTAGCCTGTAACCCTGCTTTGCAAAAAAGGGCAGGAGAGTTTACCAGCGTCACGCAGAAACAGGCTGGTCTGACATTTCTGCCTTTGGATGCATCTTGCTCTTGGAGGGAAGCAGAATTTTTCAGCAGGGCCCCGTGATTTTATACGCTTTGAATTGCAAAACTGCCTGCTGATGCTGGTCTGTTATCAGGGAGGTGAGTCCCCCCCTGCCTGCATCAGACCCCCCCCTCCTGCGGCGTTGGGGGGGGTTAGGGCTGAGTCCCCGAAGGCAGGAGCTGAGCTCCACCGAACGCACCTCCGCTTGGGCACCCCGTTGCCAGCAGAAATCCCAGCCAGAGGATTTCGGTCCTGCAGAGCAAAGCGGCCGGTGCCTGCCGGGTGAGGGGAGCACGGCTCCCGTCCCGCAGCCCCGGCACCGCTGCCACGCGATGCCCCGCCACGGGGCTCGGGAGAGCGTCTCGTCCCACCAGAGCACGGAACCTTTAACTGAGACTCTTGACGTGACGGTACGTAACAAAAAAAATATAAATACGGGCTGTTGCCAAAATGCAACCCAGAAGCAGGAAAGGGTGAGCAGGAAAAGCTCGGCAGCGTGCGGGCAGCCGCCAGCTCTGAGCTGTCCCGGGGTTTCTGTCCTCTACGGGCCTGGCAGGAGCTTGCAGAGAACATCGATGACAAGCGACGCTGGCTGCACTGTGTCGTACTCTGCAAACAGGTGACAGAGGTTCTCCGAGTCTGTCTGGCTTTTGGCCACGAACCCAAAGATTCTTTGAAAAAGGAGAGAGACTTACTTAGTTTGCATCCAGGAATCCAAAGGAATACTCTTAAACTAGCCCCAGCCACAAAGTAAAACCCCAGTTCCAGCAATTCCACCTTGGCCCGCTCCCCAATCACGTTTACTTGGAAGTAAAACAGCCGGGAGAAGTGTTTCTGGCAAGGCTTCCCCAGCTGTGAAATGTTTCTTGAACGCAAGGTAGAGCCAGATAGAAACTCGCTTCCTGAGCCCAGAGCAAGCGAGTCACTGGCAAGGCTGACGGATTCGGATGGGGGCTTCCTACCTGAGGGGATGTGGAGAATGGGGCTTAGCCCAGCCTCTCATCCAGCTACAGAGCAACCCCCCCCCCAAAGCTTCACCCATCTGTCCCACATCTCAGACTGCCACCGCGTTAACTTTTATCGCATCCCCTCTTCGTTTTTAAGCTTTGATTCTCCACTGCTCGGCAAAGCTTTGCAATGCTCCCGCGGGAGAGGCGAGGCTGGGCAAAAGCAGCATCTCCCCCCAGGTTTCCACCGGCACGCTTCGGCTGCGGGACGTCCCCGTGCAGGTCTTACCTCGAAGACTTGCAGTACTTCTGCCACCTGAGGGGAGAACAGAATTGGATTTGCTCAAGGACTGATATTTAACTCATTCCATCAGCTGCAAAGTCAAGGTTTATATTTAGCTAAACCCCAGCGCATCAAGCCCGGGGTAGAGGCTGCAGAGCCGGCGGGTGGGATTTGGGGTTTGGAGTGGTGGAGGGTCGGGAGCAGCGGAGCCGCGCTGGGATCGGCGGGAAGCGAGCACGGCGCAGCGGCTCCGAGCGGCACAGACACCCCAGCTCCCCCCGAGCAGCCCATCACTCACTTTCTGTTCTCGGGGTCCATCCCGCAAAACCTGATGGCAGCCAAGGGGTAGTGTCGCCTGAAAAACACCCTGGCAAGGGGGGGGGAGGAGAGCGTGGTGTTAGAGGAGGAAAGCGCCTGGGCAAGGCTGGTGGCACAAACAGGCATTTGCAAATTCAATCCCTGCTCGAACCGCTGTGGCGGCTGCGAATGGGGGGCTGGGGGGGGGGGGCCGGGGGGTGGGGCCGGGGCTGCCCCCACGCTGGCGGCTGGCGAAGCGCCGGCAGCTCGTGGGTTCAGCCGCCTCCCGCTCCCGCTGCCGCTAACTTCCCGCAAAGCGGCGGCATGCCCTGCGCTGTAACGGGAGGGGTCGAGCCCACCCCCCCGGGCCGCGACACGGATTTGTGCCAGCAGGCCAGTTTTTCTCGACGCGCCGCAGAGCAGCGTGTCGGCGGGCTGGGAGGCGAGGGGAGAGCTGGGAGGCCACGGGCGAGCTGTGTTTCTCTCCCCGGCCCCCGGCCTCCGCTGAGCCCTCGGCGGCGGCGGCAGCCCCCTCCCGACCCTCCCCGGGCGGCTCTTACTTCCTCTGGATGTCCGTCAGCGTCACCCCCTGCTCGGCCACCCTGAAGTGCACGAGGGTGGGAGTGGGCAGCGTCTCCAGCTCGAAGGTGGAGGAGATGGCTTTCTGGATGGCGGGGGCTCCCGTCAGCGTCTCCACGTTCACAGAGTTGAGGTACAAGACGTTGCACACTGCAAGGACAGCGCAGAGCCCGGCTCAGCCCCAGCCCTCCCGCAGCGCGCCGGCGTCTGGCTGCCCTGAGCACCTGCGGCGCCGAGCACCGCGGGGCCGGGCCCCGCGCACCGTCCTGCAGGACCAGGCACGTGCACGCGGGGCAGATTTGTTTTGATGAAAATTGAAGATTTGGTGACTCAGAAGTGCTGCACAAATTTATTTTGGTTTACTTTAATTCTTTGCACTAATTGTTTTAAAAGTCAAAGGATTTCATTTCCGGTTTCTAAATGTCACATTTGGAATTTTTTTTCTGTTTATTCCATATTTCCTTTAATGAAAAGCAGAAATGCCCCAAGCCAGCTAACAGCTGAAGGCCAACCTAAAACATGACATTTCAGGCTGATTGAGCTGTTTAAAGGGCTGTTCTGGGTCAAACTACACTTTTCAGCTTGCCAACTTATTTTTCAGAATTTCCAGCAAAACAAAGTGGTTCCTGGCTCCCCTGACTGTGCCGTGACCCATCTGTGTGGTCTCCTGCCCATCGCTCTCTGCTCTCACCTGGAGCCCCCCCCCCCCATCGCCCAAGCCGGGGGCACCCAGGTGCAGAAGAGAGGCCAAGACCCTTCCCCGTCCTCCTGTGCAATTCCTATGCATCTCCCATAAGGTCCCACAGGAATGTGACCAATTTAACCTGGCTGCCCCATCCCTCTCCTAAAAACTCCAGATGTCCGACGCCCACCAGTTCAATACTGATTGAAGCCACTCAGGAGAGAGGCTTAAAATTCAGGGGCTATTTAGAAGCGTGGGAACTGTGGGTCTTTTATCAGCCTTGTGACCTCAAGAACTGTCTTTTCAAGCTTTACTTCACCATTGTGAGGACCAAAAGTCTCCTTTCTTTAAAAATATCAGGTTGCCTTGCAGGCCCGTGACCTGAGGATGTGATGAAAACCCGCAGGTATCTCCAGCCTGGTGACAAAGCCAGGGCGGGGACATCGGAGCGGCACCCACCGATGCACCGGGGTGACCTGCTGCTTTGCACAGCTCCGGGGCCAGCGCTGGCGTTTCAGCTCCTGCTGCCAAGGGTGTCAGAATGGATGACATAAAAAATATAGAGCCTGGTGTTTGATAGGTAAGGAGTAAAGCCCAAAGCATGGGTGCACGCTCAGAGTTCTAGCTGTTGTCAGCTCGCCTGTCCCCTGGGGACAGCAGCCCGTTCCTGGGGACAGCAGCCAGCTCCTGTCCTCACCAGCAGTTCTCTTCAGCAGCGACAGTGCGGATTCTGGGGCGCAGTCAGGGACGTCTTCTCCATCAGCAAGATCTGCACAAACGACAAGCGGGAGCGCTGACGCCCCAGGTCAGGCTGCGCCGCGTCACCACGTGGCATCGGGGGGGGGGGGATTCCTCAGCTCCCAGGAGCCCCAAAGGCCCAGGACTGCTCAAATGGCAGGGCTTTAGAGCAGGAACTAGTCTAACTGTCCTCCGTCTCCCTCTCCTGGCTCTGCTCGTCTCTGACCTCCTCACTCCTTTCCTTGCCCACCCTCAGTGATCCCCTGCTCCCCGCTGCTTTGCTGACCCCCCTCCATCCCCAGCAGAACCGAGTCATCACCGTCCCCCCACCCGAGGCAGCGTCCCTGCCCCACCGACAGCCAGGGCGACCGGCCCCGCTGTGGGGAGCACCCGGGGGGGCTCAGCCCCTTCCCTGCTGCAGGACCATCCCCCCCCACCGCCCCCAGACCCGCAGGAGCGACCATCCAGAGCATCCCTCCAGCCTCCGACACCTACCCCGGGTGGGGATGCTCAGCTTGCAGGGCAGTGCCAGCGGGGTGATGGCATGCTGATACACGAAGGCAGAGAGGCTCCCTGCAATGCAGAACCGTGAGTCGGGGGGGGCGCTGGTGCCTAAAACCTCCCCTCCCCCCCCCCCCCCCCCCTCTGGCCTCACAGCAGTGTCCCGGGGAGTGCAGAAGGAGGGAAGGGGAGGGGGTAAGCTGGACTATTTGGGGCCTCACAGTGACAAACATGGGTTTTCCAACCCCTACGCCCTGTTCCTGTTTTGGAGACTGCCAGCACAGCCTCCCTGGCAGGACTGGGGGGGGCAGGGGGGGGCCATGCCAGCAGGTTTGCAGCGCGGTCCTGGCCAGTGCTTTGAGGGGCTTCTGGGAACGGGCCCTGGGGCTGCCAGGGCTGCTGCGGGCGATGGCACCGTCCTTACCGAAATACAGCTCCTCGCTGGCTCCTTTCAGGTGCACCCCTTTGGCAGACGACTCGATGAGGAAGTGCCGGACGAGGTCACTGCTCTCGTCGCCTGCGAGCGGGCCCGAAGGCAGCGTCAGCGCCGGCAGGAGCACCGGCATTCCGCCCACCCCTGCCCACCCCAGCGCACCCACCGGAGCTTCTGCCCTGCGTGGCAAGCGCAGCGCCAGCCCCCGTGCCGGGGCGGGACCCCGCTGCCAGCGTCCCTCACACAACCAGAGTCCTGTGGAACCTCAGCTTGCTTTGGTTTGACTAATTTCAGTCAAACCCTTGAAGCAAACCCCACCTTTCCGAGCGAGTCCCTGTACCTGTCTGGCTGCCCGATGGAGAGACGGAAACCTTCATCGCCAGCCCAAAAGACCCCCGGTACGACGTGCTGTCCCGCACAACGAACGTGCCTGGCTCCTTGTCCTTCAGCAGCTGGATCGCTGTCAAAGCACAGGCGGAGGCTCAGCCAAGCAAAACAGGTGGAACCTCCCCACATCGTGTTTCGTGTCCGGCCGATGCTCTCGCGGGGAGTTGTTCCTTGGCAGCAGCGAGAAACGCTCGGGAGCGTTTGCTGAGGACGCGCACGTCCCTTGTGCGGGCACCGCCGGCGGTGGCCCTGCAGACCCAGGGGCCCGCGGGTCCCCGCGCTCCCCAGGACGGAGCCAGCCCCTGCCCGGGCCGTGCTGAGCAGCAGCACAGTCCGAGGCAGGAGAAACTTTGCTGGATTTGAGGTGGGGACAGAGGGGCCGTCGTGTTTCTGAGCCTTCCCCGCAGCCCTGCGAGTGGGTCCCTCCACGCCTGCCAGCCCCCAGGATACCCCGAATTGCCGTCACCGAGTCCCCACAGGAGCTCAGTATGGACAAGAGCTGGACTGAGGGGCTGCAGGGGGCAAACTCCAGCCTGGGGAACAAGTCTGAGCAGCAGAGCAGGTCTGAGGCGGGGTTAACCCAGCAGAGACACTTGCTGCCTTACCTTGGTCCCTGGTTATGCTCGGCTTGAACCAGTATTTCGAGGTGTCCATCACAAACTTCATGGTCGGCTGTCCAGCCCTGAGGGGACCTGCAAGAGACATCATGGCATCAAAGCCAACGCTGGACCCAAAACACCTTCACAGCAGACAGCAGAGCAGGACAGAGTCCTTAACAAAGATATTTCACTTTCAGGCTGGCATGGCCAGGGTTGAATTTTTTTTTTTTCAATCCTTTTGAACAGAGCTTCCTCCCTAATTCTCAGAATAATTCATTCTCCACGTAATTCTCTCTCTTGGCAGGCTGCGGTGGAGTGCAGAGGCGGCACATGGAATCCCCCAGCAGTGCCAGTCTGCCCAGCCCTGCACAAGCCCACCGGACCGTGGGGATTTACACCAGCTGAGGATCTGACCCACAAAGCCCTCCTGCTATTCCCATAAGAATCCCAATTAAAACCCTCTGCCCCAAGAGCTGCCTCTGCTAATCTCCTCCAGAGAACAACAGCCCTATTGTTTACCCTTGAATGAGGGACCTTATAAACTCTGGTATCTTTAGATGTCCCCCAGAGCGAAGTGGAACCCTAACCCCTCCTCCCCACCCGTCCTGGGCCCACAAACAATTATGAAGTGACAGAAGGATGGTTCTCATTCGCAGGTACCATAAATAAATGCATCTGCCTCCCCCTGAGGCGACCAGAGCCTTCCTGCCTGCTGAGCACGTGCCCCAGGACCTCGGTGGGCAAAACGCCCTGGCCAAAGCGGGGTCACGGGCAGAGCTGGAGACCACCGCAGAGCCCCCGACCCAGCGAGGACCTGCAGTTCCTGCAAGGACCTCCCGTCCCTCACGTCTATAACCCACAGACCAACCGGAGTAGAAAAGGGTGTTTGCTCCCCCTTTCCCGGCAGCTGTCGGGGTCCACAGCTCCTTCCCCCCCCAGACCTGCCCGACGGCAGGGAGGTGACTTACTGTCTGAGACGCAGGAGAGCGCTGGTGCCGACAGTGCGGTGTTGAGGCCACCGAGCCTCGGGGCCGGGCTGCAGCTGGGAGCTGGGGGCTGCTTGGCGGAGGCGGGGGGCACTTTGGCCAGCCTGGCAGACACGTCTCCTTGTTCCAGGCACCCGTTCACCAGCAGCACTGGGATGTCGGCTGCGGAGTTGAGGATGGAGGGGGGGCAGCTGCTGGCCTGTCCCTTCTGGGAGGGGGAGGCGTTGGCTTTGGTGGAGCAGGCTGCCCCAGGCTGGTGGGGACTGAGGCCAAAAGCTTCTCCAGAGTGAGACCTGATGCTCGGGGAAGGTGGGCAGGGGCTGCCCAGGGGGCTGGCAGGGGACAGGCAGCCAGCGGCGCGGCAGGCAGTGGGGTGAGCATCCGAGTCGTCGTTGTGGAGCGAGTGGGTGCTGCTGCAAGAGGGAGACAGAGAGCAGGGGGAGATCAGCGGGGGTGTTTACCTGGGAGGTGATGCAGAGCCCCCCCGCAGAGACCCCGCCAGCCCTGCGGGGCATCAGCTCCCAGCCCGAGGAAGGTCAGGGACAGTGGGACTTGGGGAAACGGCCCCGTGTCCCTTCCATCCCCATCATCAGCCCGAGGCTGGGACACAAGGCGGCATTTACCTTCCAAGGATGTAACTGGTGTCAGAGCCGGGGCTCGTGGAGAGCAGGGACACCCAGCTGCTCCTCTGCTGGGCCCTCACCATGGGCACCGGCTTCAGAAAATTGTCGAAGCCTGGGGAGGTGCCGAGCGCCCCGGGGCCGTAGGAGATGCTGTCTGTCTGGCCAGCCGCGCGCGGCTGGGGGACGGCGATGCCCTCGGAGGCTTTGCTGCGGGTCGGGGAGGCCGCGCAGGTCAGGCTGCCCAAGCAGGGGCTCGCGGGTCCAGGGGGGCTCGAGAAAACCACGCTGCCACTGGTGCTGTAGTTGCCTCTGAGGACCCCTTTTTGGGGCAGGAAGCCGTTGTTCTGGGGGGACCTCGAGAACGGCGTGCCCGAAGGGCTGGGGGAGCGCGGCAGCAGCTCGGGACACGTGGCTCTGCCTGGCATCTCTATGTATTTGATGTCTGCAGGAGGAAAGAGGAGGTCGTTACCGATTCAGTGTTCGAGTCGGGTTCCTTAGCTAAGCTCGGGGGTGGGAACACGTGGCTCTGTTCTCACTATGAGTTTTGGCTCCGGTTTGCACGTCCTGGGGGGCTGCTGGGCCCAGGGGAGGACCCCCCCCCCCCCGCTCCGCAGGGAGACCCCCCCACGGCCCAACGCTGGCCTTCATCACCTCTGTGGGGGCTGGTTTATTCCCAGCCGTCAAGCCACAGTGACCCAGCCCAGCGCTGGCGGGCTCGCAGGGAGGAGGGGTTACACGCGGTCATGTCTGCCTGCATGGACCCCCCCCCCTCCCCACGCCGGCACATTGCAGAGCTGGTGCTTGCCGAGACCTGCAGCGCCAGGCGGGTGTTTCCTGCAGCAGCCGCTCTGTTTGTACCTGACTCAAGAGAAAAACATCTGGCTGCTCCCCCCCCCACGCCCCCACCCCGGATGACATCGGGCTCGGAGGGTGCCCACAGCCACGGGCGCGCGGCCCTGCGCACCCTTGGAGCTGCCTGGGCACGGGGGATGTCACCTGGTCCCCAGGGACGGCCGGACACCCGCACCCCCACACCCCCACACCCCGCAGCCCTGCACCCCCGCGGCTGCAGAGGGAAGCCACGCAGGACAAGGGCAGTTGCGAGGCTCCAAGGGTCAGTGATGGGCCCGGCCGTGCCAGCAGCAAGCTCTCCCTTCCCTCCTCCCATCCAGCACAAGTCTCTTTAGAGAAATAATTCCCAAGGCAGTTTCCGTGCCCGTGCCCTGCTGGGGGGTTTCTTCCTGCTCTTCCTTTCGCGCTTGGGGCAGGTGAGGCATCTCCCAACCCCTGTGCTTGCCGTTGTTTCTGTGATGCAACACGTCTGCCAGAGCATCACTCGCTCCAAGACCTTCAGGGGTCAAGGGCAAGGGGGTGCCTGGCTCCCCAGGTGCCCGACGCACGTCAGCATCGTTGCTGTTCCTTGCCAGTTCCTTGAACAAGGCCATAATTTCTGGCTGAGCTAGAAGGTGCCTTTTAGCAAGAGGCACTCAGGCTTGATTTAAGGGTTTGCAGCAATGGCAAATTCATCACTTCCCCAGGGAAACTGTTCCCCTGGTTAATCACCTCCGCTGCTAGAAGCATGCGCCTCCTTTCTAGTCTGGACGTGCCCAGGTTTGTTTTCAGCTCCTGGTTCTTGCCCTGCCATGGAGTTCAGGAAAGTTCCCCTTCTTCAAGGTGCTTCGTGAAGAGAGAAAAGCCTTTTTGCTGCAGCAATGAAAAACTGCTCTTAACAGTCCTGAGCTCGCTGGCAGTTGATGTTAAGAGCCTTGGTCCTGCCCTGGTTGCTGCAGGGGAGGGTCGCGGGCCGGGGCAGGGCAGCTCCAGGCTGTCAGGCTCTGCAGACCCTGTTTACTGCAAGGAACAACCAGACCTCTGGGGCATAAAGCTTGATGAGCAGGAAAAACGCAAGTCTGTACAAAAGTTACTCTCCGAGCCCCTTCTCTGTGCCGATCCCAGCGCGGGACTGGATCGGCACGGCCAGCGGAGAGCCGCCGAGGAGGCGCCGGGGAAGGCAGCAGGGCTGGTCCCCAGCGGGGACGCAGCTGGACCACGCGCGGGAAGGAGCCAGAACCGCAGCCTCCACACCCTGAGCGCCGCGGGCAGCCAGCACAGCCCCGCCAAAGCCCTCGGAAAGGCTCCGGGGCCACGTGGTCCCGGTATCAGCGCGCAAACGCTTACAGCAAGCTCTGGGCCGGATGCTTTTTGTCAGTGTCTCCCTCGAAAGGGGAGAAGAAATGGGGATTTTAACTGTCCTTTGAAGAAAAAAATAACTGAAAAGCATCTGCGCAATGGGCTAACGAGGCCTTTTGCCTCCTACTTTTCTGCATCTGCTCTTGCTTATCAAGGCCGGTTAAACCTCAAATATTTGCTCAAGACCTTGGCAAGTTTTTCAGCATCAAGGAGTGTCAAAAGTGCCGCAAACAGGCAGCCCAGCCGTCACGCAAGCTGAGATGCTCTCCTCTTCCCCAGGAACAAGCAGAGGGAGTCAGTGACTCTCATCAGTGCATCTCCTGCTGCTGCAGCGTCCGTTATGTGAAAAGCCCTCCCTGTAGTTCCCACGAGACAAGAACAAGCCCCTGTCGTGGGCTCTGGGCACATCAGTCTCCTGCCTGCCCTCACCTCGAGTGACTGTGCTCGCAGGGAACTTACGCTTTAGGCAAAAAGGAGAGGCATGGAAAATGCAGAGCCCTGCACAGCCCTGCCCGGCGCGGCCGGGGGAGGGAAGGGAGGCAGGAGCCCACGGGAGCAGTGACACGGGGCCAACCGGGAGCCCAGCTGGAGCCGGAGGAGGTGGGTGAGCAGGGATGCTGTGCAGCAGCGGGAAGTCTGTGTAAAAAAAGAAGAGCTGCTAAAATAAAATGAAAGCTGAAGCGAGGCTTTTCCCACTGCATTCACGGCCAGATTTCCAGATGTTCAGTTCCACACTCGGAGCCAGATTTTCAAAACCACTAGCACGCTACCTGCTGAGCTGCTCGGGACTCCAGCCCTCGAGCGGTGCCTGAAGGAGAGGCACCTCAGTGCCTCCGAACACTAGTCTGAGGAGCCAAGAGCTGAGCCTGCACTGTGTCCCCGTACTTCATCCGCAAGGCCCCCCCGTTCCAGCCCAGGGGGAAGCGGGGCTGCCGGCGGCCCCAGAACCGCCCAGGCCCCGCGGCTGCTCGCCCCGCTCCCCGCCTGCGGCTCAGCCGCTTGCCGGGACCCTCGCCCCTGCCAGGCTGCAGTTCTGTGCACTCGCAGACACGCACCTCGTCCTCCTCCAACCCCGCGTTCCTCAGGAGGACGTTTGCACGAAGACTCAGGGAGAACAGAATTTTTTTCATGCCTTTAACATCCTTCCATTTGACCTTCCTCTGGAAAGAGGCCTAGGGACAGATTTTCAAGGTATGTCCGTGTCTAAAGACACAGAAGGGCAATGAGGCTTTTCAGAAGCAGTGAGACTGTGTCTTCAGGCACCTAAACACATCACAGATCTGTCCTCCAGTGCACCAGAACGCTTGCGGCCGCGTGTCACACGCTCTCTGCTTGTGTCACCCTGCGCACGGCGTGTTGGGCTGCTGGCACACCGCGGAAGGGCCACGGGCAGGAGCGCTCGGCTCAGGAGCAGCACACGCGGCAGAGCCCGGATCGCAGGGATGGCAGCGGAGTGTTGCCAAAGGGTTCACGTAAGGCACCCGGGCACGAGGGCAGGGAGAGGGGGGTTGGTATGTGCTGCTGATGTTCTGCCTTGTGTATGCGAGGTATGCTGCCGGAGGAGCGCGCAAGCCCTGGAAAAAGAATTTCCCTGGCAAAATGATTGGGAACATTTCGATGGGGTGGTTGTGTAACGATCCGTACCTTAGCCCAGGGCTTCGGAAAGCTGGCTTCAAATCCTTGTGCTTCCACAGGTCAAGTATGACCCTGGGAAAGGCTCCACTGCCCTTGGGAGGAACTGGGGCTGCGCTGCGAGGGTAAGCACGCTCCAGGCCCCGCACCCAGAGGTCAGTGCTTGTCCCTAGTCCTTGACGGGAATAACGTGGATCAGGCATTTTCTGAGAGCTACGAGCCCCACTGCTAATGAGAAATGTTTTCTCCAGACACAGGGAAACAAACATCAGGTTGAATTAAGGCTGTTCTCCCTACTTCCGTCTGGGTCCTGCTGAGCTAGCTGGACACAAGCCGTTTCGAAAGTGGTCAGACTGGGACCTCAGCACCCGAGTCAGGCAGAGAGCCTGGATGCACAGTCCATTCTGCTCCTTTACGTGAAGCCCTGGTGTCAGCAGGCACATCCCACTCTGACCCCCCCCCCGGTGACGGTGGGAGATGTCACCGGTGCCCCCTTCCAGCCCCCCCCCCCAGCAGCACAGGACCTTATCCTGCCCTCTGGGGCTGGAGTGTGGCCAGCCCCTCCACTCCGGACTTTCACTCTGCCTCTTGCAAATGGTTTTCACTGGGTCTGAGCTGCGCTGGCTCCACCGCACCACCAGTGACTCTTGCCTCACCTATTGCCTCTGGACCTTGCTTCCCGGTGGCAGCAGCGTCACCCCGGGAAGCAGGCTGGAGTGCACCCTTCGCCGGCTTGCACGCGAGCGGCTGGAAGGTCGGATCGATTTCCAGGATCAGCCGGTTGAGACTCTCTATTGATATGTCCAAGGTAGGAGACATCAGGTGAACCTCGGGGTCCGTGCTGGTGTCCTCCTCCTCCTTGAGCTGATGCGGGGCAGTGGGTCTCTCCAAAGAGGTCTCCTGCTGCCCCTTCCCCTGCGCGTGAGCCGCCACATGCTCGAGCACGGGAAGCAGGCGTGCGTTGGTGTGCACCACCGCGGACGGGTCGGCCCAGCCCTCCGTTGAGTAGTAGCACCCGGAGCAGCCCGGGTACCCCGCTGGGTGCAAGCTCTTGCTTCCCTCCTGCGAGGAAACACACACCGTCTGTCCAACACGCAACACGTGGTTCTGTATGACCTGTGACATGGTTTGGTTTTCTGGTTTGATGGCCTAGAGTCCAAGGGAAACCTCCTCCTCGCCTCCCTTTCTCCACCAGGGACCTCAGACCCCTTCTTCAATCCAGAGTCTCCAGCGGAAGAAGAATCTAAAGAATGCAGAGAGAGGAGCGGTTACACAGGCATGCCCTGGGCAGGAGCAGACTTCAGCGGAAAAGTCTATAAAAACGGGGATTTGGAGTGCAAAGCTGGAATTCGGCTCATAAGAAAACAAGTCATCCGGTATTGCTTTTCCACCCCCCTCCAGCCTCCGCTCCCGGTGCCACAGTGCATCTGGGCAAGTGCGGGGAGGATTAGTTTGCAACAGCTTTTCAGGATTCAAAGGCCTAAAACCTACATTTTGCTTTATTTACGGAGCGCTTATTTTCTTGGTTATGAACAAAATGAAGCGTCACTCTAACAACTTCTGCACGGGACCCGGAGAGGCCGTGGTGGTAGACAGTGAGCCCGGAGCCACGAAGGGGTGACCTGCAGTGGGCCAGAGAGATGGAGCTGCCTGCCAGAGCAATGTTCTGCGAGAGGGTGTACATTTAATCCGAGGCTTTATTTTGCTGGTACAGTGTGAGCTGAGCCCTGGGAGCCTGTGCATGTGGCTGCTTTCTCAGTCAAGGCGCAGCTCTAGGAATCTGAGCGCTATTAAATTTTGAATACTCTCTGGCTTCACTTTAGATAGAAAGTATTTTTTAATTCAACATTAAAAAAAAAACCCGCAGCAGAAGGTTGTCTTCCCTTGGGGGTTTCTGGACACAAGGTCTCGGGACACTGTTTGGAGGTGGGGAAGTTGTCCAACTGCATCAGCAAACAAGGGGGGTCCCCGGGGGCTGCCGCTCTCCCTCGTGTCGCCTGCGCGGAGCTGCGGCTCAGCAAAGCTCGCTGCCACCCGGCGCGCTGGGGGAACCTCGCTCTTTTGTCTCAGGACGGGGGAAAAAAGCCTGTCCCCCTCCGTACCCACCGTGGCAGCCAAACCCCAGCGTCTCGGTGCTTGGGGACGTGAGAGCCAAGCACATTCCCCGTGCCCGTGCTGCGCCGGCTGCGTGGGAGCGTGCCCGTCCTCTCCAGTCCTGGGGGAGGGCAGCACCCGTGGGGTGTCCAGAGAGCCAGAGCCGAGGGCTGGCTGGCAGGAGTCAGCCCTACAGCTCCCTGCTCCCTCCCCTGTGCGGATCTGGTGTGTAACATACAAACAGTGGGCTACACTTAGGAAAATATTTGTCCTTTCCTGCATCAGTCTTGAAAGACTGACTTATTTACTCGCCTATCTCGGATTGATTAACTGTGGAGTCACAGGATTAAGACAGAGACACGTTGCTCCAGGGCAGCCAGTCCACAACCCCCGTGGGCGAGGGCAGGAGTGCTGGGCTGGCACAGTACGTCATGTCTGGTAAGTGGTGACTAATTGCTGTGCTGGGTGTTGAGAGCCAGAGGTGGCTCAAAACAGGCCAGCTTTGCCCTCGATGCATTATATAACCCTAAAGAAACCTCTCCTCTTGCAGGAGAGACAACCGGAATAGCCCAGACTCATGAAGATTAGTGAATTAGACGCAAAACATTGCTGCTGTCAGCTGCTGCTCACAGCGTAGGGCACTCGGTGTGGCTATGGGCCATGAGTCACACCAGCTAATTCTCTCCAAAGAGCTAGGAGAGGTTTTTAAGGACTGCAGAAGTGAATAAATACTTCAAATCCATTTAGCTTCCTCCCAGCCCAGACCCCACTATGTCTCCTGAGCCTCTGATAGATTTTATTTACAAAACTGGCAGGCTGGTCTGTAAGAAAGGCTCAGGAGCAAGGACATGTCCTGCACCAAGACCTGACTGCAGAAGGGAAAGCGCCTCTGGAGGCAGCTGCTGGGCCTTTGGTCACAAATTAGACGGGCACAAGGAAGGGATCTATCAGAAAATGGGGGGGGAAGAGCTGGACCTTGGGGTAGCTGCTCCCCAGGCTCGGGGGGGCTGGCGAGTGAGATGCACAGGCTGCCCACGGTGGGGTCCCCCCCCGTGACCCTGGCAGTGACCGCCCAGCAGCTCCACAGCCCGCGGTGCCTTCCCAGCCGGCCGTGCCAGGGCCGGCACGTTGTTCTCCCTCGGTGTTTCTGGAGCCAAACCCCAAGGCACAGAGGGTGCAGGAGCGGGCCAGGACCCGAGTTCCCCTTTCCCCCCCCCCAGCCAGCCGTGCTGGCAGTGCCCGGGCTCTGCCGTGCTGCCGGCCGGGTCGCAGGTAAGCGCTCTGCCCACCTCTGCTTCCCTGCCTTGGAGCACGTATGTGCCATGATGCCGCAGGCACCACCGCGAGAAGCGCAGCACGGTGCGAGGCTTGGAGGGAGCGTTGGTTAAATATAAAAAGAAGAGTCATTCCAGGTCAAAGACACAAGCTAGATGGAGTGAAAATTGGATTCTCCCCTGGGGAGAAGAACTGCCTGGCTCCAGTCAGCGTCCGCAAGACAAGGCTGGTTTTAATTTAAGTAGGTACAGAAATAACGTGCAGTATGCATGAACCAGGACTGTCAGGGGGTTCCAGGAGCATGCACGCAACAGCTTCCCTCCTCTCTTGTACTCCTGCCCTGAGTTTTTGATCTTTCTCATGCCTGATGCTGCCAGAATTAGCCTCCAAACCTCATTTCTCCTCCCTTCCCTTCTCTGGGTTAAAGTGATAGGTCTCTCGGGCTCCTCACAAGAATTTTGAGCCTCAGCTGCAGGCTCTTCTGCTCAGAGAGGCAAAGGAGGAGAAGGGCTTGGGCAATGGACGTTAATCGCAAGGTGGCTGTTAGCCACCAGCACGGTGCAGCCACGAGAAAGACAAATGCTGCCCACAGACATCAGGACTTTGCAAGAGCAACCAGAAAAAGCAGCGCTCTCCAGCACAGCCCCGGCGAAGGCTGGGCAGCGTCCGGCTGTGCCCCCCGGGCAGGGAAGAGGGGCCGGGCTGGCGTGCAAGGACCGTGGGTGCGGGCAGGGCGCCCGCATCGCACGGCGAAGCTGCCGGCACGTCCGTGTCGTGCCACGGGGCGCGATGCCCTTCGCTCCGGCAGCAGCAGCATCGCAGCCCTGGCAGAGGCAACACGGGCGCTGCAGCCATCCCTTACGGGGCCTGGCTCGCTAGCTTCACCGAGGCCGGGAGGATTTACTGGCTGTACAGAAACACTGGGGGAAGGAGCACTGTTGCTTAAGCTAAGACAAGCCTAGCACAAGAAGAAATGGAAATAAGCTGGCCACAGACACAACTAAACTGGAAATTACCGAGTTTCTGATTCTGGAAATGGACTGTGGAACAGAATTCCCCCTAAAATAAAGGTCCCTAGTCCCCCCCTTCCACCTCCAGCCCCGCTGGGCAGGCAGCCCCCTGATATGAAAAGGAGCTGGGCTCGGGGTGTCAGGACTGGGACCGGAGCTGGAGCGCTGAGGCAGGAGGTAGGGTGCTGGCTTTGGAGGCTGCAGGGTGCCTCCTGGGCGGCAGCAGGAGAAGCGGGGTGCCCTCGGGCCAGGGCTGCACCGGACACACCCCGGCTGTTCGATAACTGCCTGCACACCCTTCCCAAAGCCGCCAGGCACAGCCCAGCCCAGCCCAGCCAGGCTGGAACAGCCCCAAAGATCCCGCTCGGAGCAAAGTCCCTCCGGGCAGGGCCCTGTCCCGGCTTCGTCTGCGGGAGCCCGGCGAGCTCGGGGCAGACCCCCCCCCGGCTCCAGCGCTGCCCACCGCGCTGGGTGTCCCCCCGGGGCTGCAGCGGATCCCGCAGCGGCAGTGTCCAAAGCCGCCTCCGGCCTTCGCCGGGCGGCTGCACACGCGGAGCCCTGGGCGGCCCAGTGCGGTTACTGGGAGCCCAGACACGTGAGCCGAGGGCTTGTTCTCTGTCCGTGCCCAGACCCCAGCGCAGCAAAGCCGGCTGCCAACTCTGAGCTGTTTTTCCTTGCAACGTGAGCCCTGGGAGCCTCCCCATGACGAGCCTGCTACACATCCCCCCCTCACCAGGAAGAGCAGAAAGGAACTGCTGGGACATCCTGGCTTTACGGAGCTCATTACACCCAGCTTAATCACTGCGAGGGCTGCGGGGTGACTTGGCTAGATTAGCAGGACGTGCTGATGAGGCTGAGGAGGAAAGTTCCCGTGGTTCTGCTGTGTTGTGCCTGCAGAGCAGCGAGCGCAGCGGTGTCGCATGGATGAGAGCAATACAGCTCCGGTTTGGGGGGGTCCAGCAGCTGGAGCACGAGGCTGCTGGTGCCTGAGGAGGGAGCAGCCCCCCCCCAGTGCCCGGGGAGAGAGGGGTGACTGTCTGACAAAGCTGCCTCCCTCCTTGCTCAAATAAGAATAATTCAGAAAAAAAAAAAAAAAAAAAAAAAGGAGCCTTTATGAAATCCCAGGCAGCATCGCTAACTCTCACTATCTGAGCAGCCCCAGGAGCCCTGTGATGGGGCAGCACCTGTGTCACCACTGCCGAAGGGGGACTTTTGCTGGGGCAGCAAGAAGCAGCCCAGTGCAACCTGGCAGCAGAAGCTGTCCTCCCTCAGTGATCCCCCTGTGAACAGCCCCAGCGCTTTGCTTTTTTAGCAACATTTCAGACTTCTGAAAGGGTCTCCAGGGTTTTGGATGAGGAGGGTTGTTAGTGATGTTGAAATTGCTACTCAAACAGCTCCCCCTCCCACTGCCACACTCCCTCTTCCTCTCCCAGGACGGCTCTTTCCCCTTTGGCAAGAGCTTCTCTGGGTACAAGCCAAGCAGCAGAGCCTGGTCCCCATTCCAGGAGAGGTCCCAGTGCAGCTTGGAGGGTTTTCCCTCCAGCACTTTGCAGGGTGAGCAGTGGACATGTGAAGCTCGGGGAGGGGGCAGCAAGGAGAGCATCTTTAGAAGAGGGTATCTGTCCAAAACCAGACCAAATTAGCTAATCCTGGGAATGTTTGCGATGAGTTACAGGCACGTGAGACTTTCTAGACACACTAACAAGGTCCTCAGAGCACCAGCCTCAATTTTTTCTGAGACCATGGGCACATCCGACCCCCATGTCCTTGTGGGACTGCACTAGGTGGTGTTATTAGGATGGAAGCTGCAGCGTGAGGGAGGCTGTTTCCCTGCGTTTCAGAGGGGCCAGGGGAAGGGTGAGGGTGGGAGCTGCTCTGCAGACCTTCGGGCGTTTCAGAAGGACACTGTATGCCTGCACTCCCTCCTGCCTGTTCCCTTGAGCGAGCGTACAGCACTGCATCCCAGGGTTGAAGCCTTGTGAAGCAGCAGACCGTGCACCACGCTCTCCCTCTTGGGTCCAGGGGACAAACAGCACAAAGTGGGACTGGATACTCTTCCTCCCCTCCTCAGACCTCCACCTTCCTGCCAATACATCTGCCCACACAGGCAGCGTGTCTGCAGTGCTCCTCTCTGGAGCCTCCACGCAGTCGTCCTGATCCTCTGCTCTCCTCTTACACATGGACAGACCCTCAGGACCTTGTTTTGGTTTCACAGCATCTCTTGAGACTGTCCCGAGTCACGATGCTTCGACCTTGCTGACTGTCAGTGGCTTAAGAAGGTACAGTGGTACCAAATAACCTTGACTAATGCACAGCTGGCTGATTTTCCTCCTGAGCCCTACACAAACCACTGCCTCCAGCTAGTCACACTTCTTGCTACCACATGGCATTTTTATAGCCTTGAACTCTCAACACTTCACCACAGTGAGCCTCCCACTGAAACGCAGGGCGCGCACCCACAGCCGCACGGTCACCGCCTCATTTCTACCGGCTGAACTCACTTTGGGCCAAGTGAATGAAGCATCTCACACCACTTGTGCAGATGCACAGTCAACAAACATCACTGGAAAAAGGCTTCAAACTCTGGGTGAACGAGAAAGGTAATTGCTAATAAAATAAACCCCGTAGACTACTGAGAAAAGTCCAAAACCTCAGCCTGAGCAATAAACATAATCCCATGCCATTTCTCACAGAACATCCAGCAGCCTTCCCCACCCAGGATAAACACCACTTGGTGTCTCCGCCAGCCAGCAGCATTGTTCAGGCAGGAACAACCATGTCTTGGCTTATTTCAGATCTCTGCGGCAGTTTTCTCCCAAGGCACAAGAATAATCACCAGCTAAATGCAAAGCAGCAGCAGCAGAAGACAGAGAAGTGATGGAAGAGAGGAACTGACACAAACTGCCAATAACATCAGCGCGGAGGATTGAAGGGAAAAAAGGACTTGAAAGAGATCCGGAGCAGGCAGATGGCCCTTGAAATCAGCCCTCAGCAGGTACCTGACTGCGGCTGCTTGTCGCCGCTCCTGCGCGCCGCTCTTGCTGCAACGCCTCCGGCAGCACCTTGAGCTCCTAAAATCAGCACAAGGGTGAGTCTGTGCAAGGACTCAGTCCTCTGGGAGCCTTGGATTTAACGGGAGCCCGGTCCCTCCCACCTGGGCTGAGCTTCGCTCACCGCCCCGCCGTGCGCGGGGTGCAGCCCCGCTCAGGCCAGGTGTGGTGCAAGAGGGAAGACCCAGCCGCCGGGACAGGACCCGGAGCAGCGCGGAGCTGGGGGGAGACCCGGCTGCCTCCAAGGCACGCTGGCCCGGGTGGGCTGGAGGCAGGGAGCCCCTCAGCCGAGGATGGCTGTCAGCCGGTGCAGGGCAAGGTAACCCTGCTTGGAGCACCTCAGGATTTTGATGCTCCAGCTGCCGAGGGCTGGGGCTGTGCTCTGCCCCCGGCAATCCCCCGCGGGTCAGCTGGACCCCAAACCAGCACCCAGCCACGGCCCGGGGCCCCCTCGCAGCTCGTGGAGGGAGAACAGAGAGGGATGGTGCTTCAGCCTCGCCCTCCAAATGTCGGTTGTAGGTTGTGGAAACAAATGAAGAGGGAACAAAAAGCACCGGACTCTCTCCTCTCCAGCCGGAGCATCGGAGTCCTGGATTCTCTCTGCTCCTCTCCGGAGGTCTCGGTTGCTCCCTGGTGCAGAGGGCACCGACAGGCCCGTTGTTGGGAGGAGCAGTTTAAGAGCCTCGGTGGCAAAGGTGCTGCGTTAACGAGCGAGACTGGCCCAATCCAGGGCAAAGGGAGAGAAATGATCTCCCGCCATCTCTGGCTAAAGGGCGGCCGTAGACTTCCACGGCTGCTCTGGAGTGATCTAAAAAAAGACCCAGGTCTGCCCACACCCTCAGCACAATTATCTAACTGGTGTATTACAGGGAGCAGATTAAAAAAATATATCTAGAGGCAACTGTGCCTCGAACTTGTGTTTGCACAGTGTCCAGCCCAGAGCAGCCGGGCCTGACTGCTGCATTTCGCATTCCCACACTGAGAACGGATGATAATAAATAATCCCCAAACATCTTTTTGGATGGCTGTACATTTTGGCTCAAGGGTTTCTTCCAGTTTCAGTGGGCACAGAGCCACGTAGCAACCTTTAAAATCATATATCTGAAATACTCTTTTTCAGGGGAACTGCCTATTCTGCTGCCCATAAATGCTTCTGGCTTACCGCAACATTGCCACACCGCTAAGGGACGCTTTGAAATGTCCGATTTTGCCAGGAAATACACCATATAAAATCCCTTCCTTTAAATTCCTTGATCTCACTTTACAATCTTTCCAACGTTTTATTTATTATCAGAGATTGTTTTTTCCTTTCCTTACATCCCTGGGTAAACAGTGTTTCACCCTGCCAGCCCAGCCCCTGCGCTGTAACGGCTGTGAGATTGCAGCGGGGGGTGAATTCCCAGCAGCTTTCCTTTTTCCTGGCTGGTAAAATTCACCACTCGACGGAGTGTTTCTAACCCGAGGGACGTTCAGTGCCGCTGCTCCTGCACACACAACACCAGCGCGAGACTGCAGCTGGAGGGAGCAGACGGGGAGTATTGCTGGGGAACCACGACCTGCGTTATGGCCCTCGAGCTGAGCAGCTGTCTCTGGCGGGATGCGCGGGCAGTTTTGGAGGTTGCGCTGCTCGCAGACAGCGTAGGAAGGGAAAGCGCCAGGGCCGGGGGGGGGACGAAGGGTTTTGGGGGTGGAACAAGGTGCCTCTACGCTCCAGTCCCCTCGTTTGCAGCCTGTGCTCAGAGCACACCCAGGCTTTGACAATGTTCTTCTACGGGGTTTGCAACCCCGGCGAGCTCGACCCTGTGTCCGCAGGATAAAATGTGCTGCTGAGGGCAAAGCACCTCCGCTGGAAAAATGGCACGTGGGCACGAGCGCCCTGTCCCTCTGCCCCGGCCCGCAGCTGGTTCTTGCCTCGTTTGAAAGAAGGTGCTGATCGGACCAAAGCTGAGAGCTGCGCGGGGCTGGCGGCCGCAGAGGAAGGTGCTTCCATCGCCCTGACACCTTTCGCTAACGTTGACTTGCTCAGCAGTACATAAATAAATGCAAAGCCGTTTGCTGTGTTTTAACATCCCGTCCCGTTTGCCCCAGGCCTGAAGAGGCCTCCCTGGCCCAGCGTGTTGCAATTCTTTTTTCAGTGGGTATTGGATTGTTACTGCTACTGGCACTTATAAAGCCAAAGTGAAATCCTCTGTTGCTCTTTTAATGCTGCTTTCAATCTGCAGCAGAGACATTCACGTCTCACTGCTTTTCCATTTGCGTTGTGTAAGACACTCAGAGATGCCCTGGAGGGGCCAGTTGCGAGAGAAAAAGGCTGTTTGTTGCAGTACTGTCAAACTCCTCCCCAAACGCTGAAGCAAACACAAGCACAGAGATATTGCAAGACCCCTCAGAAAAAAAACCCCACCATTTTCCTTTGGCTTTGACTTTGCTGGTTTTGCAGTGAAGCCAAGATGTTCAGTGGCTCTTTTGCCAAGCCATTACATCTTCTTTGCGCTCTTCGTATGCGTGGAAGATTAACGGGAAAAAATTAATGAGGTGCACAGAGGGCTTGTCAACACAGCAGGGTATTTTGCCCTGCCCCAATGGATCACTAAGCACCTCCTGGGTTGCACAGGTGTAAAAATCTGCTTGCATTAGGGCTCTGTTCTCCCAGTTACAACCCCAGTTAAGCTGAATTTACTGAGGACATTTTGTATTTAAGCAGCAGTGCCTGCGAGAACCACATGCCAGTCAACCGTGCGGGTGTACTTACACTGAAGTGAAAAATCCCACCATGAACAAGCCTCTGCATCATCCTGGATTTTCCCACCCTGAAGGCCCCAAACATTATTAGCAAACAACGTACCTCTGTACTCCGGCAAACACATCCCTAGACTCTGTAAATAGTTGTAAGTTGTGCAGGTGGGTAAGACCAGGGTAAAGCAACTCCTCCAAGGTGGAATGGGATAGGTGGTTAGCTGACAGTAAATGGCACTTTTTTGTCCCCAGATTGCAGAGGGAAATCAGGAGGAGCGGGAGACTGGCTGGGGGATTGCACTCGGGGCACAGCTGGAAGCTGGAGATGGCCAAGGAAAACTGAAGCAGCCACAGGACTGGCCAGAGGAATCCCCCCTCCTCGGCCCTCGGCAGCCTGTCGTGGGATGGCTGCTGGCTCAGGGCAGGGTCACTGGCAAAACAGCAGTGCCAGTAACAGCAAGATGTGTAGGAGCTGTTTGCACAACAGATTGACCTTCCCTACAGAAGCAGGCTGCAAAAATAAAGAATGACAATTTATTTCAAGAACAAGAGAGGCAGATAGCCATAGAATCAGGATCATGTAGTTTTTGTGACTGCACTATTACTTGTTTCTGGAATTGGAGCAAAACAAACACACGGATACCAATGAGCTGACCCAACATCAAAGAGCGTTTTCAGAGGAACAAATACTGGTTATGAATAAGACTTGGAAGTGCTTCCCTGGAATGCACCTGTGCAAATGAGGAGAAAAGGTTAAAAAATCTTTCTATTTGTCACCTCTGCTTGGAACTGAAGATTTGTTTCTTGCGTAACTGGAGGGAAGCTGCAGACGTGGGCAGGGGGGCAGGGGGGGAGGCCTTGGGCTGGAGTGCTCAGGCCATGCAGAAGGGCTGGAGCAAGGGATGGTCCTCCAGGTCCACCTTCACCTTGGGAACAGCCCTTGGCAGCCACCACCTCTGCTGGTAGCTCCTCTGTCTCATCTTTTCTTCACTAAAACGGACCTGTCTGTGCAGAGCACATTTCTCCAAGCACAGCCCTACCCAGGATGTGCTCATAAAAGACAAAGTATTAATTTGACAGCTGAAAAAGAACAAATAAATTTCATGAGCTGGCCCAAGCAGCTGCTCTGCCCAGTTGCTCTTGGGGAATGCTCTGCCCTGTGTCCTGCATTGTGCACTGAGATCACCTCCCTCTCACCACTGGCTCCAGGAAACCTTGCAGGGGTCCGGCAGATGAGAAGTGAAGTGGCACCATGCCCAGCACATCAGAAGTGACACGGAATGTGAAGCTGGGCAGGAAGCAGCCTGCTGCTATCTTCCTCCCTCCTCCTCACCTCTCCAGCTTTCCTTTCTCCTCTGGGGCCTTCAAAAATGAAGAAAACATAAGTGCTGAAATACCTACCCAAAAAAGCCACATTGGGCTATGACCTTCCTAGGGTTGATGGCACAACTGTTACGAACAGAGCAAGTCCAGGCAGCTCCCAGGGCAACCTCCGAGGGATGCCTGACCTGCTTCGTCCTTGACCCGACCTCGGCCGGCCTGCCACGCAGTGCGGGGCAGGGGAGAGCCCACGAGCCCCCACGGAGGTCTGGAAATAGGTCCCGCTGCCACCTCCGAACACCCCCAGAGACACCCCGAGCTGAGCCAGCCCTTTCTTTCGGCGTGGGGGCACGCGGGCACAGCGCGTGGCACTGCTGGGCGGCACGGGGCCCGAAGCATTCCGCAGCGGGGGCGGGAGGCGCCCCTCGCACCCCTCGCACCCCCGCCAGACCCCGCTGCTGCAGGGCTCGCTCTAACAGCCACGTGTGTGCTGCAGAGACCTCTCCGCTGCTTGGGAAGCCTCTACCAGGTGAGTCACCCTTTTTCTTGGAACAACAAAACGCATTTACTCAGAACAGTGACGAGGCCCTTTGGTTCCCCCCCCCCCCCCCCCCCCCCCCCCCCCCCGGGGGAATGTTAATCAGCCTCCTCTTACTGAAAAAGGACCTTTTGTTTTCTAGACCTTACAGCTTTCATAGACTGAAAGTGCAAGCCTCCCGTGGAAGCCACGCTGTGCCCGGGGGGATTGGTGAGAGTCGGAGACAGCCACGAGCCGGCGAGGGAAGGGACCAGCTCCGTCTGTCCTGCACACACGGCCGCACGCTCCGCGGTTGGGGCTGCCTGGGGTGCCCCGAGCTGAGAGATGTGTCTGTGCAGGAGGGAATCGAAAAGCAAGCGCTCCGGCCGGGTGTGTGCCAGAGGCACGGGCTGGGCTGCAGCAGAGCTCCACGTACCTGTCTGCACAGGCCGGGTGGTGCGAGGGCTTCG